GTGGCAATGCCTGCAGTTTCGAAAGTAGGACATGGAACTGCGTTAGTTTTAAACCACTGTGTTGGAAGTCACCACCAAAGAAGGATTTAAAGACGTCTTTTAGAAGCCAGCAGATGTGGAGGGAGAGGGCAGGGAGGAACAGAGGGAAATATGTAGAAACAATTGTGGATTATGAAGCAGAGAAAAGGATCATTTGAATAACTGCAGATGCTCTTGAATCACTCATCAAGACAGAGAAAGAGTCATTGGAAAGGTTTGAGGCTGGAAAAGGGAGGTTTATTCAAACGGCATGAATTAAACCAGTTTAACTCCCCTGGAATTTTAAGTAGCTCAATTCTCTTACGCAAATTACACCTTAGTATTCTGCCACACAATCCTCGGTAGTTCTCAAGTGCCATCTCACCCTTCTCCCCCCTTACAGAAGCCATGCACACTTTCCCTGTGAAGACAGGTGTCCAATGGAACTGTTAGGGTGAAAAGTGGGGAGCCCAACAGTAGGGGGAGCCAAAGCACACAGAGTCAACTTGTTCTAGTTTTGTCCCCATCCTCCCTGCTGAGGTCTACAAGGCTCAGAGGAGAAAACTGACAGCCAGGAGCATCCCCTGGGCTGGTTATAAGGAATAAAACAGGCAGGTGTGGGCTAACTGAGGGCAGAGTGAGGTTGGTGGGGCCATGCCCTATTTCCCTCAACAGACAATGCAGTGTTAACATCTACAGTGGTACCTCTGGTTACGAACTTAATTCGTTCCGAATGTCCGTTCTTAACCTGAAACTGTTCTTAACCTGAGGTACCACTTTAGCTAATTCGGCCTCCTGTTGCTGCCGCACGATTTCTGTTCTCATCCTGGGGCAAAGTTCTTAACCCAAGGTACTACTTCCGGGTTAGTGGTGTCTGTAACCCGAAGTATTTGTAACCTGAGGTGTTTGTAACCCGAGGTACCACTGTAATTTGTATGCTGTGTTCCAGTGGCACAAATATGCCAGTTGGGCTTAAATAATGTGGACACCAGGCATCTGCCCATAGGGAGCCTTGACCAACTCCTCCTTCACTGATACAAGGTGTTGTAAGAATGGTTTATTGTTGGCCAAGCTCTAAAGCCTTGTACAAGACTCACCTGTCCTTTAAAGTTCTAGGCAGTAGTCCAGTGCCCACTGAGTAATAATAATAATGATGATAATGATTTATTTGTACCCCGCCAATCTGGCTGGGTCTCCCCAGCCACTCTGGGCAGCTTCCAACAAAGATTAAAAATACATTAAAATGTCACACATAAAAACTTCCCTAAACAGGGCTGCCTTCAGATGTCTTCTAAATGTCAGGCTTGGAAAGCAAGACCCACTGAGACTTTGCTACTGAGTAAACATGCACAGAGTTAGGCTATCAGGCTGCAATCACATGCACGCTTGCCTATGAATAAATGACGTCAAAGAGCCTTCCTTCCACGTAAGCATGCATAGGATTCCACTGTGAAACTCCTTGAACACAGTGGTGGCGAAATAGTACACTCAGTGCACGCCTGATAACATGAACCCCCTACATTGCTGAACACCTCCAGCACAAGCCCTGCTGCAATGGACAGGGGCTGAATTAGAGCAGTGATCTTGCACAACTCCCGAAAGAATGGAGCAATTGAGCTTTTTCGCTTACCTGGCTCAAAAATACAGGTGACACTGCTTTCTCTTCTGCACCTTGCCCCTCCTTGCCACATCTTGTTGATCTTCTCTGGTGTGCATACGAATGTTTGTGTGGTGCAGTATTTCTAAGGCTGTGTGCATATTAGCACCTTAAAACACAGCATCACCACTGTGTTTCAAGTCACTTTTGCATATTGCCATACCCACCAAGAAGGGGGAGATGATATCCTCATCCGATCTGCATCACCCGTTTCCTTTCTCCATGCCTGTTCATGAAGCTGCCGTCTGCACATGTGCAATGGCTAGCTCAGATGTACACACCTCATCTTAACTGTGAATTGGATGCGGCTTAAGTTTTCGTTTCAGATTGAAGCTGGTTTGAGGGGAAACACATCCATCAGCAGCGTTTCCCAAGAAACTACAGGACAGCTCTGCATCATAGATTATGGAGGGAGCAGTGGGAGAACACTGAAGCTAGTGTAAACACAGCCAACGATGGGGCTGGGTACACAGAGTGGACAATAGCTTCCCACTCCTTCCCTGGCTGCCGCAGAGTGTGAGGTTAGTGCATAGGGACAGCACATCTTGGATACATATTCTTCATAAGAACCTTTGCTGGACATCTAAAGGCCATCTAGTCCCGCATCCTCTTCTCATAGTGGCCAATCAGATGCCTATCGGAAGCCCAAAAACAGGACCAGAGTACAGCAGCACTCTCCAGACTCGCTGCCATTAAAATGTGCCCAGATTCATCATCTACCGCACGGCCTTCACCTCGCCTATTTATTCCAACAGGACATGCGCATGAAAAATTAGGAGATGCAAGGAAGGGATCCTACTCAATGGCAGAACACATGGTTTGAATGCAGGAGGGTCCAGGTTCAGTCCCTGCCAAACACCCTGGAGAGCTGCATGGGCCTACAACTCCCATCTGCACGTGTTACCTGGGACCTGAAGGAGCTGTAGACCAACACATCTGGAGAACAGGTCTGTTGCACACAATGCTGGCCTGAACAGTCTGATAAAGCAGCTTTTTGTGGTTTCTGCAACTTAGTTATTCACCACTATCCAAACATATTTCAAGTGCCATATTTCTTTTAAGAGCAATCCTAGAATTGGAAGGGATCCCAAGGATCATGTAGCTCACCCCCCTGCAATGCAGGAATCACAACTAAAGAATCCTTGACAAATGGCCATCCGTCCTCTGTTTACAAACCTCCAATGAAGGAGAGTCTACCGCCTTCCAAGGTAGTTCATTCCACTGTCAGACAGCTCTTGCTGTCAGGAAGTTCTTCCTAATGTTTTGTCAAAATCTCCTTTCTTGTCATTTGAATCCATCGGTTCGGGTCCTACCATTTGGAGCAGCGGAAAACAAGTTTGCTCCATCGGTTAAACCACAGAGCCTAGAAGGTCGGCGGTTTGAATCCCCGCGACGGGGTGAGCTCCAGTTCCTCAGTCCCTGCTCCTGCCAACCTAGCAGTTTGAAAGCACGTCAAAATGCAAGTAGATAAATAGGTACCGCTCCGGCGGGAGGGTAAACGGTGTTTCCGTGCGCTGCTCTGGTTCGCCAGAAGCAGCTTAGTCATGCTGGCCACATGACCTGGAAGCTGTACTCCGGCTCCCTCGGCCAATAAAGCGAGATGAGCGCCGCAACCCCAGAGTCGGCCATGACTAAACCTAATGGTCAGGGGTCCCTTTACCTTTACCATGTCAAGTGGTGTGACTAAAAGAACATCACAACTCTATCCGTAAGCATCTGTGGTGAAGAAAAATGGCAACAGTAATAATCGAAAAGAAATTCCATGGCAGTGTTTGTTAAAAGGGGGAAGCAGCCAAGTCTTGCCAGCTTGTCTCTTTTCTTTCTCTGGATTTAGCAGCTGTAGGAGCCTTTGTTAAGGACACAATGGACGCCAGTATCAGAATACTGTGTTATCTCAGAGTTTTCCAGATGTGCTGTATTACTGTGGGAGTCTGATAAAAGAAGTCTTTGGGAAGAAAGAAATAGCCACGGCAGAAGGCAATACATAATACCATTTCCTAGGACTTTCTTCCATGGTGGGGCCAAAGAGGGTCCCTATCTTTTTTCCAATTGCAGCCCGCTCTTTGAAGCACACAGCAAGGCGATTGTTTTGATTTGAAGCCGCAAAGGTGGGCGAGACGAGGGAATGGTGGGGATGCTTCTGCTTGCCTTTGTGACGAGATGCTTTTAGGTTGCTGCGTTTCGAGATTGAGGTCACTCGTAATTGGATACGTATAGAAAATGCACAAGCTCAGCAGAGCCCTCCCGCATTGGTTCGCCTGCCCATTTGGCAGCTGTCCTACAAAACTGAACGGCTGGAAATTTAAAGCTCCAATTAAACAAAAAGGATCCCACTACTCAATTAACTCTTTTATCAAAATGGTACCTCTTTGCACCAGGGGAAGCGTCATCTTTTTAATTAAAAAAAATCCAAACACATGTAAAGAAACAGACACAATTTCCTGGAACAAGGCATTACATTTGCAGGATTATTTAAAAAAGAAAGAAAGAAAATCTAAAAAACTCCAGAGCTTCTGAGTCAAGAGTCAGTTTCATCAATATGATGAAATCTGTCCAGATCCAATTTCTTTTGTAGATTACACTTGTGTGGCATGCAGGTCAGGTTTGAAGTACACCATTCACCTAACGTAGATGGAGAACGTACAGGGGAAAGAATTTGGCCAGAAGGCTTCCACTTCCACACTGATCATGTAAGAGCTCCACTTCCTAGAGCTCTGTGACCGCAGGGAAAACTACTTGAATAAATATATAAGGAATATTGAGAAAGAGTGGAGGGTACCAGCTTGCTCATGAGAGCCCTGAGGTCTACAGAAGTCCAATTTGTAAAAAAAGCAAAACCTAAAGCAGAAACCCAACCCCAAAGTAGCCTCATGAGGACTGAACGTATTTAGTAGCAACAGAATGTTGAATGTCAGATGGGAAAGAAAAACAAAAGTGTTGATTGGGGTGGAATGGTATTCTGCAAAAAGCCATGGCTGGCAGACTAGAATACTCAACAGGAACACTCATCAATTAACAACTGTTCAAGTTATATGAGAACATTGGTTGAAAGAGTGAGGACCAAGCGAGAGGACGCTGAACACTTCACTTGACGCTGCATCTTTTAAGTTTTTTAATCATTAATAGTCATGACAAGGTAAGCCATTACCCACAAAAGCTTATGCTATAGTGACTTGGTTTGTATTTCATGTGCCACAAAACATCACTGCTTTTGCAGCAACAGATCAACATGGGCAACCCTGTTAATTCCATAGCTCCACAATAAGCCCGATGTGCAGCTTTCTGCAGCTTATTTCTTATACAAACAGACGACAAGAGACGTGTGTTACGGCAACATTTAGTATTGTATTTTCAGTGTTTATGGTAACACAGGGAGATGTCCACAGCATAAAACGGGAGAGGGGAAAACAACCAGAAGGCACATATTTCTGTCCTCGTACTTTCAGAAAGTCGGTTTCAATGCAACATCCACTAAAGTGGCAGAAGACATGAGAATGTACAGTTTTACTGTATTTACTACACTGAATGCAGGATCCCACCCCACCAACCAGCCGTGGACAAGAACATCTACCACCAAGACGACGTTGAAAAATAGCCTTCACATTGTTCCCTCTTTAAACATATTACAATACAAAACCAGCAACCACTTAGAAAGGTGAATGCTTTTCCTCCCGTATACAATTTTGCCAACTCCATTAAGTCATGACCTGCATTGCCCTTGCTGCTACAGCCTGGATCCCAACTAGGGAAGAGGGAAACACGGCCAACTGTGTCAAGCTCCATGCTGCGTATTGGCAGTTTTGATCAAAAGCCTTCAGGGATTAGAGCAAATCTAAACTAATTTTCACTCTGAGCCAAATAAGCATTTGATCCCTCAGGTACAAATTAGCCTACCATACCACCTAGGGAGCATAATACCCCAAGGCCTGCATGTTTATAATCTTGGCTCTCAAAGCTCATTTCATTTCCTTCATTAAGACAATAAAAACTAACGTGAAAAATGTGAACAGAAGCAGGACCACAGGCTGAAAGCAAATCCATTCTCTTTTCTGATGAAGCCGAGACAATGATATCGGGGGATACATTTGATTTGCCTATATGCGAGAGGGGAACAGTATAGTCCTCCTAACCAACCCTTCTTGTTAGTTAACTAGAGATCAGTTCAATCCCAGGTGGCATCCTGTATCCTGAGGATATGAGCATTATCAGGTTTTTAAAGCAAGTGGATTTAGAAAACGTGCAGCCAGCTGGCCTGCAAACCTAAAGTTTATGGTTTCTTCTCCATTCACAACAAAGAGCGGCTGCCTCCTTAGCTATCCAAGGAGACTTATTTGACGATTTCATTTACCTAGTTCTTCTACTGATTAAAAGTAAGGTGCTTTAAAAAAAAATCCCCAAATTTATTTTAAGAAAGATTTGCAAACTGAACAAAAACCCTGCAGACAACGTTAATTTGATCAAACTCAGAAAAACAGATACTGCTTCTACAACATTCCTTTTGTTTGATTAGCTTACAATATCTAATTCTTTCAAAAACTCTGAAACCTGACTGATCTGAAAGAAACACACACAAAAAATGAGAACCACATTTGCTATCATTGAGATGAACACCCATCCATCCCACACTAATGTTTTGGCTCTTTGTAGGAATACACACAATTACATAAATGTAAAGACTGTTGTGTTGGCACATAAAAGGCAAATTTTAAATCCATATTGGGCCAGTGGCTTTTATTTGGCCAATCAGAATGTTCCAAAATGTTACGTAAAGCTTTCAAGTTATCCAGTACTTCTCCAGAACTTGAAAGTGCTCTTGAAAACTCAAAGGCCTGCATGCTATATGGTGACACTTTTGATGTCATTGTCCTTGCATGGATTTTGGAACGTAACTATAAGGCTTGTAGCTAGATTTCTGCAGAAGATTCACAGCCCTTAGGGGTAGTTTTCCTGATTTTTGTAAAAGGAGTTTTCAAGAGGCAGGGGAGATCTGGAATTCCAGAGTTACCAATGCAAACTTAGACCCTGCTGAGTGCCTCTCTCATGTGTCTCCAAACATCATGCTATGAACTTGGGATGATAAGTTTCCATCTTTTGCATGTGATATACAGTACTTTCAATGGCAACATGAGACATCAAAATTAGCAACAGATTAAATAGGAGTACACATACACAGTACATTCTATCTATATACATATACTTTCAGCGGCCCCGGTAACTATTCTGTTGTGTCCTAGAAGTAGATCTTCAAAGCCCATTAAACCATTTGGCAATTGATATATTAAATAACATTCCAAGTTATCTAGTGCAAACTAAAGTTTGTTATCCTCTAGACACGTACAACAACTTCCATTCCTCATTTCTTTAAGCCAAAAAAAGTTTTTACTAAATTCTCCACATTCCTTTCGGTATTGTTAAACTCAGTTACTTCTCACAAGAACAGCATTTCTCCTTAGCAACCCGTGTGCCATGCTAGTCTACATCAATGAGGCTCTCCTTTACACAAATCCGGTTTTTGGTCACGCTCCAAGAGACCAGTCTCACAATGCGCCGTCAGTATTTTCAGAAAGAGACGGCGATACTCCGTGTGACATTTAACACGTCATTTTTGCCACTCCATACTCCAGACTGACAACGCCAGGCTCTGTCTTGGAGAGCTCTTCCATATACTCGCTGTACCGATTGTCTGCTGCGTTGGAGCCCTCTATTGTTCGAATACAGTCATTCCCATGTAGAAGAGGCTGCTCTTTCTTAAAGCACTGGGATGTCTTAAGAACTGGTGACGCAGGCCGCAAAGGTTCCTTGGTGAAGGCCACATCCAGCTCCTTGTTTACACAGTGACCTAATTTCTGGGATTAAAAGGAGTATTTCAGAGTAGGCTCCATTTTCCCTTTGCGGCCGTTTGGAGCCTGAGAAACTGTTGTTCACATCCAGGCCCCCAACCTACCGAACTCCTCACTTTCCCTATCAACAGATGAAACTACCTTACACAGAGTCCAACCATTCCTTCCTTCAGTTCAGTACCATCTTCTCTGATGGCAGTGGAGCTCCAGACTCATCTAGAGGTCTTTCCTAGCTAGCGACCACAGTTCATTTTAACTGGGGATCCCATGGACTGAAGCTGGGGCCTTCTGGGAAACACGGCCAATGCACTCAACTTCTGAACTCTCTCTCTCTCTCTCTCTCTCTCTCTCTCTCTCTCTCTCTCTCACACACACACACACACACACAGCAGCAGCTTTGTTACTCCCCACTATCAGTGGCACTGCTTGCTTCCTTATAGTATCAGGTCCTTCATACTTTCTGTACCCTCTGCTGTTCCTGAACAGCTGTAGTACATGCACGAAGGCAGGAATTGGGATGAGGAGCCTATTAACAAGGTCAGCCCAAGAGACCAACAAACCAACAAGACTCACAACTTGGATACCAAGATACACTATACAAAGGACTGGTGTTTATGGTATGGGGATGAAAAGCTGACACTCAAGAGCATCTTCTAAGTCTCCCTCTGGTGCAAACTTCTCTCTGACATGTTCCAGTCCATCTCTGTGTGCGTATGATTGAATGGCCCAGCAGGTGGAGTGCCATCTTTCTCTTGCCAGTTGCAAAAATAATCTTCACAAAAGCAACAGAAAGAAACCATCATTTGAAAAAGCACCTGATGGGATGCGGTTCTGACCTTTTAGGAGCAAAGCAGGCCTGTGTCAGACCTCTGAAGACAAAATAGTTATTGGAAATACTCACAGCTTCCAGTTCCTTAATGTCTTTCTCCAGCAGCTTATTTTGCTCACTCATGCTCATGACCTGGCTGACTACGGATTGCCGGGGATGCATGGTGTGATCAAACTGATGATACATGTTCCTCCAGAACCTGCACGTGCCAATCGCAATAGTATTTTAATACATCATTCTGGCAGCTGGAACATTATTATTATTATTATTATTTTAAACATCATTGAAACTCACTTAAAATTAAATGATACTGTGTCAGGCTCCAGAATTGTGAGCGACTGAGAAAAATTCTCATTATAGATGGGGTTTAGGTACTTCTTGCATTCATCCAGAAGGAAAGGCCACAGTGAATACGTCTTCTCTTTCAATCTTGAAGGGAAGAAGAACTTGAGTGAATCGCAGTCAGGGCCTGAAAAACACTAATGCCATATTTCAATGGCAAAGCTACCCACGCAGTGGAGATATTAGGACAACCTTCCCCAACCTAGCAGACTCAAGATGTTTTGGACTGCAACTTCCATCAGCTCTAGGGATGATGGGAGTTGTAGTCCAACAACTGGAGGAAACCAGGTTAGGAAAGGTTGATCTATGGCCAGAAAGCAATCACTGGGGGTGAGGTGGGAAGGGAATGGAAACAGAACTGGATTGTGCCTGCAGTATTTTGGGGCGAGTCTTTCCCTCCCCCCTCCCCCCATGCTGTTTCTTTAAAGTGAGGGTAGGGGTAGAAGGTGATATAGGGTGGTGATTAACCAAGCTTTAATCAGAGTTGGACTTAATCACTACAGATATATATCATTTTATCTGATGATGGGAAACTGCAGTCTAGGGTGTGTGGAATTTAAAATAGTGAAATGGCGTGCTGGGGCAGGGTGTATTTCTAAACCAAAGGGAGAACGATTCTCCCATAAACCTTTCTCTCTCTCTTGAAAGCGATTATATTCTCAAGAAGATTTTTCAAGGATTGATGTTTTAAGGAGTGCAAAAGATCTAATGTTTTTGCAATGCCGGGTTCCCCACCATCACACACCAGAAAGGTGATTCTAAGCCCTAGCAGTTAAGAGAGCTAATATGAAACCTTACCTGAGCTCTTCTCGTTCTTTCTGGCAGTTCCCAATGAAGTTTCCGAACTGGCAGGAATGGACGTGTTCATGGATCTGAAGGAGAAAAGCCTCATTGAACTCAAAGGCTTGTGGAAACTGCTCCGTCAGGTGCCAGACGCTTTCTAAAAACTGAGCGAACACGGGAGAGATTTCCTTTGGGTCTCCATCCAGCTGACCGCATCTATAAAATACATTCCGCATTAAAAGAGGCCAGCCAGTTAGTTTTTATTGTTCGACTGCGGGTCACAACAGAGAAGGAAGGGCAACGTAAAATTAGGCGGCTCCCAGTCAGTGTTAAAAACAGTCCAGCGTTACATATTAAAAACTTCCCTGAACTTCAATTCAGGGAATTCCTCACTTCTCGCAATGAGGGAACCGCCATGCCCCCAGGATGTGTGCCAGCCTGCTCTCCGCCCCCCTGTGTGGAGCTCTGCCACTGGGAGACGCACCTTCAGGTATACTGTTCTGAGGCCATTTAGGGCCTTAAAGGTCAGCACCAACATTTTGAATTGTACTCGGAACTATACATGACCCGGAAAGTTGTCTGTGGACAAATGCTGGCTCCCTCGGCCTGAATTGAAGTTTTTGAAGCCTTAAGATGTCTTCTGAATGTCAGGTAATTATTTATCTCTTTGACATCTGATGGGAGAGTGTTCCACAGGGCGGGCGCCACTACCGAGAAGGCCCTCTGTCTGGTTCCCTGTAGCCTCACTTCTCGCAATGAGGGAACCGCCAGAAGGCCCTCGGTGCTGGATCTCAGTGTCCGGGCTGAACAATGGGGGTGGAGACGCTCCTTCAGGTATACAGGACCGAGGCCGTTTAGGGCTTTAAAGGTCAGCACCAAGACTTTGAATCATGCTCGGAAACGTACTGGGAGCCAATGCAGATCTCTCAGAACCGGTGTTATGTGGTCCCGGCGGCCACTCCCAGTCACCAGTCTAGCTGCCGCATTCTGGATTAATTGCAGTTTCCAGGTTACCTTCAAAGGTAGCCCCACATAGAGCGCGTTGCAGTAGTCCAGGCGTGAGATAACTAGAGCATGCACCACTCTGGCGAGACAGTTTGCGGGCAGGTAGGGTCTTAGCCTGCATACCAGGTGGAGCTGGTAGACAGCTGCCCTGGACACAGAGTTAACAGAGTAATCACAACCATCTAGAATATTTACAACAGCAATAAAACCTACTGGGGCAGAAAGACAGACAGAATGGAACTCCCTCACTCCCCTCATATTGTATGACGATCATCAGCAGAGCAGATCCAGTAAGCAGCATGCGACAACTTCTACATTTCATTTTCATTAAAATAAGACCAGCTGCTGCAAAAGCACTTCAGGATAAATACATGGGGGAAATAGTGGGCAAAATTAACCCTAGGTAGTCACAAAAATTCAATGCACCAACGTAACCCCCTCCTTCTCCTTTTGTAGGTTCAGTTGGGTCTCATCTATGTTTTCAGGATATGCTAAAAACCTTTCTGCACACCCAAGTATTTGCAGAGTAGAGAAACTTGTCATATATTTACTGATCTCTGTGGAAGCTGTGGAATTATATTTTGTATTGTTTTATTAGCCATCATATGCTTTTTATTATTCTGTGTATTGCTTTAGGGTGTTTTTTTAAAAAAGAACTAAAAGCAGTTTATTAGTATAATAAATATATGGGGTTGAATCCTACTAAGTTCTACTCAAAGTAGACCCGCTGATCTGAATGGTCTTGGCTCATTTTAGGTCTGCTAATATCAAGGGGTCTACTCCAAGAAGTTGGGTTCAACCTATGATAACGATTAGTGGACACGAAGAAAACAAAATTACCAAATGTGATCTAAAGGGGGTTTTCTGACTTTTAGGAGCACATCTCCATTGCTCTGTGGAAGTCCCACCTTGTTTCCAAGCCAGTTTGTTGTGCAGCAGAGTGATGGTGGAGGTGGAACAGGCTGCTATTTGAAAAGCACAAGCACAAAGCCTGCTTTGGGACGTGGAACTAGGGATGCAGTTTTTGGACCCTGCCCTACCCAAGTTACTGCTATGTGCTCTGAACGCCACATGCCAAGTCAGATAAAAACCACAAATAAAATGGGGCGCACGCACGCACATGCACACAGAGAGAGATGAGCTCTCAACTGGTATTTCAAGCTTAGGTCAGGTTTGTAGATGCCAATGGCTTATCCTAGACCAGTTAAAAATGTCTGACACGAATGTACAAGAATATGTACGTGCATAAGAAAATGACACATTTTTTTTCAGAGGGACAGAAAGTCAGTAAGTATAGGAGCATGACTTATAGCTCATCCTGGAGGGGCTACCAAGTCTAAGTTAACTGGTGGCAACACAAAGCTCAGGGTAGATGCTAAAAGCCAGGAGCCGTCTCTGTAAGGCAAAAAGGAACGGAGCTTTCCCCAGGGTCTTGGGTTGGGAAGTAGGGAATCCAAGACCAGGGCCTGGCTGGACTGGGGCTGATATCCAGAAAAAGTCATCTGAGGAGTGTCCCAGCTCAGGAGGGGTTCCAAAAACAAAGCAAATGCATCTTCTGGACTAAAAGTATACAGGTCCCTTATAAGATTATGAGATCTATGTAAGCGAAAGTAACACAATGAGTTACATAATTAATTCAAACGTACAGCATCTTTGTAGCAAAATACCCTACCTGTCTGAAAATTTGTGCCCAAACGCAATCCAGTCTTTTTCTATCAAAACCTAGAAGAAAACAAGGCATCAGCTTTTCATCTGTTTTTATGCTGCAGGTCTAAGTTTGGATTATATTACCCAGGTCAAAGTTCTTGGTTTTGATGAATTAAACCCAAAATATCAGAGCAGTACCCAAAATAATCCTAAACTCAAATATACACATTAATTAAGTCTCATGTCAGAGTACAGTGGTACCTCAGGTTACATACGCTTCAGATTACAGACCCAGAAATAGTGCTTCAGGTTAAGAACTTTGCTTCAGGATGAGAACAGAAATCGTGCTCCGGCGGTGCAGCGGCAGTAGGAGGCCCCATTAGCTAAAGTGGTGCTTCAGGTTAAGAACAGTTTCAGGTTAAGTCGGACCTCCGGAACGAATTAAGTACTTAACCCGAGGTACCACTGTAATTTTTAAAAATCAACCTGATTCAACTGGTGTGTTTACTACTTAAAATTAGTCCTGTAAACAAAACAGGCTTCTCCCCCAACCTCATGCCCTTCAGATAGCCTTGCCACAGTGCCCATGCATCAGTAACCTCAAAATTAAGACTACTATAATGTGTTGTTATGAGGGGCTACCCTTGTGCATGGGTCAGAAGCTGCAGCTAGCATAGCATGCAGCTGCTAAGTTATTTGGTGGGATACCCCAACACTGCAGATATTAACACCAGTGTTGAATGTTATGATGTACCTTTATAGGATAAAGATTCCCCCCCCCAATGTTTATTATGACATACTTAGCATATTAAGTGCCATTTAAAAATGGTATATAGGAAGTAAAACAAGAGCGATTGCACCAAAGTAACTCGGTTGCAGCATGTGCCAACTGAAAGCAACTCGGTGTGCCCCAAGTACGCACCATAAAGCCTTTCATTGTTCTATAAAAGGGATCCAACAACAGAGATCCCAGAGAACACACTTGAGACGTCCGGTCCCAGCCGTCAGAGCAATGCACTAGCACACTTGCACTCTCCAAAGCTATGGCCTGTGAAAAAGACAAGAAGATTGACTGATGCGTGCGCACTTGTATCACAAGGAAAACAAACACAGCTTTGAATAATAAATAATAATAATTATTATTATTTATTTATTCCCCAGCCACTCTGGGCAGCTTCCAACAAAATATTAAAATACAGCAATGCACCGAACATTAAAAGCTTCCCTAAACATTCCGATGATAAAGCGGCTAGCAAATCACAACAAACGGCAGCAACAATTTGATTCAAATATACAGCCTGCTGCTGCACTCAGGCACCATGATAGTGAGATATCTCCTCGCTTGGAACTGCCCTAACAGGGAAACAGGTGGCTGTGGTATGTGCATCGATACCTGACAGCCTGAGGAGTGGGAGGTGTAAGTTACTCAGTCCACACTCTTTTCCTTCCAAATGCCAAAAGGCAATTGGAACGTCTGAAGTTGACAATACTGACCAAGTCACCCTAAGAACACAGAAAGCTGCCCTAAGCCAGGAGTAACTATCTAGAACCTGTAGTTCTCCAGAAGTTCCAGAACTACAACTCCTATAATTCCTGATCACTGGCTGTGCTGGCTGGGGCTGATGGGAGTTGGAATTCAGGATCAAGCAGAGGCCTTTTATACCATCTGCTATCTGATCTTTCTTTTAAAAATAAAAAACTGGGATCTTCCACATGCAAAGCTTCTGCTCTACTCCTGAGCTAAGAACCCGCACCACATGCGGGTGGAGGGACTCCATGAACTGAGTAGCCATTTGCAGCATCTTCTGAAATACACCCAGCCAACTGGATCTGGGAGCATTCCACCCTCCTTTACTAAGTTAGAAAGAAAATTGGGTGGTGTTAGGGTAGTGCCCCTTGAGCATTTATCCTGGAATGTAACTAAGCTTGCGGAATGCAGGCTGCACTTGCTGGTGTATAGGCATCCACCACTGGCCACAAGTTGAAGAAAGCAAATTACTTTGGCTAAGAAGATAGCAGCATCCAACACGGCTTTGATGTGTCGCAGCCATCCGCAGCTCTCCAAACCAGACAGAAAATCATTGACCGACAGGCCCCTGGTCCCACAGACTGAAATAGAAAGATACTCGGTCGTTAAATTCCAATAGCGGCACTTTCCTCTGTAGGGAAGCGAATGAAAGTTACTTTCACTTTTGAACAAATCAATTCCTAGGCTTGATAGGAACAACCTTTTCTTCCCAGAGTTTCATCTACATCCCATGGGGGCTGTGCAAGAGAGGATGCTGAACTACACGTGTTGTTGAAAGCTTGAAAATGTCACATGAAACAAAAGAGAGGGACCTGAAATTGATGTGCATTCCAGATATTTTTTCCACAAGATTTATATTCCGCTTTAGAGTAGAAAAAATTCAAAGCGGTTTACAAAAAAAAGAAAGATAGAAACCAATGTATTAACCCTTCAGTACATAAAGGATACTGTACTTATTACTTCAAGCAATAAGCTGTTTGGTATGGCTATGTGGGGGTGGAGAAGGCTCTACAAGAGTCTGTTTTGTAATTATCAAGTGCTTTCTACCAATTAGAAGCAAATTTATACATACCTTCCAAAAGTTTCTGCAGGCTGGATCTCATTACATGGATGTTTTCGATACCAACAAACTGGAATCTAATATTAGAATAGTTGTCTTCATTCTCATAGCCTTTACCTGCTGCTCTGTTGGCCAGTGCATTCAGCTTGAAGAAAAGGAAGGTAAAGCAGTTAAAATGTGTGGGAACTCCCATCTGATAAATATTAGGAACTTTATGATTGCTCAGGTTTCCAGATCTATAGAAAGGGCTTTTTCCTCCCTTCACGACCTCCTCCTTTCTAAGCCAAACCATTAATCATGTTGGATATGAAGTATCAGAAAGCATCCTACTCACTTGGTAACCCCCCACAATTTGTCCTGACCCCTGATTAGCAGCTCCCAGTAGCATAATCACAGTATGCTATGTGGCATGGAAGGCTGCTATTTTGAGAAGCACCAGCACAAAGCCCTCGGGAGGTATTGAATCAGTTCATTGGATCCTGGCCAGGGGCCTGAGTCAGGTAAGCAACCCCTCCAAAATCGGGGGGGGGGGATTAGTCCATGAGTACAAACAGCCAGTCCAATGATGACGAGGGATCCAGCGATCAAGTCCTATAAGATTGGTAGATGGTAGTCAGATGGTACACACAGATGGTAGACCAAATTTATTCTCTGTTGCTCCAGAGGGTGGAACCCAGAAGAACTCATGAAGACAAAGGACGCAACCTAAACATTAAGAACCACCTCCTGATGGAAAGAGCTGCTCAACAGTGGAACAGACTGCCTTGGAAGGCGTTGGGTTCTTCTTTGTTAGAGGCAGAGTGACTAGCTAATAGGGATGCTGCAGAAATCAACTTGCTGCATCATTAGGGAATTGGACTAGGCAACCCTTAAGGCCCTTTCCAACTCCAATTCATCCCAATGCCACTCTCAGGTTGTTCATCAAACTGGGTCCTAACAGAAACAGCAACTTAACGATATGGTGCAGTTAAGGAGCAGTAGTTCCCATCTCTGAACAACAGCATTATATCACATGGGAAACCAACTAAAGGGAATGATACCTACTTTAGGCCTGGTGTCCACAACATACATATAGCAATTATTGGGATTGGCTTTGCTGATCGCTTGCAACATGTGCTCATCCTCCAGACACCTGGCGCTGAATCCCGAGAGAGGCTGACTACATCTGCAAATGGCAGCCTAGTGAGAAGATGGAGGGACAAATATAAAGACAAGGTAACGAAAAGTCTATATGAGCACTTTAGAGGACATGAACAGCGGTCTGAATTTTAGTTCTTAGTTCTCTGGTAGCCGCAAGAAGGGAAGATTAAAGCCAGAAACATGATGCATGGGACTCTGAAGATGCAAAACCTCCAGAAGGAAACTTGAAAGCCAAAATGTTTCAGAGTTCATGGTTTCCTCTGTTATAGGCATAGACGGTTTGGCCAAATTTTAGTGATAAAGCTGGAGATATAAGGTGGCAGACACAAAATTAGCGTAGAAGAGAGACAAGACACTTTTGCATTATGCACAATCAACTCAGACCATTTTTCAATGCCCAGACCACATTAGTTTGTTTTCTTGGTGCCATGCATGCTATTATTAATTCTAGTTTCAACTTCCCCACATCCCCATAAACGGGAAGCAAAAACTTGAATCTTTAAGTCCTGAATTTTCGAACCAGTGTGAATAATTGCAACACAAGGCAAGTTGTAAAGGTTCTACTTCCGGAACTCTTGACAAAATCAGCATATAGATACAGATGTCTGTGGTGCAGCCGTAACCATGTCTAATCAGAAGTCAAGTCCCAATGAAGTCAATGGGACTTGCTCCCAAGTAAGTGGGGCTAGAATTGCAGCCCTAGTGAAGTGGCGCCTACCCCAATGTTACATTCTACTAACAGCCCTTTTTGATGGGCCGCAACAGATCTATGAATCTGGGTTACTGTACTTACCCTTCTTGTCTTTTCCTGTGATGGAAAATAGCCTTTAGCCCATTTCCCCTGAATGGAAATCAGACTATACCTCATTATCTTTATGATAATATGACAGCACAGGAAACCTTCCTTTACTTCGGAACTTAGAACTGCCAACAATGATGGGCTTGCTTGCACTCCTGGGAACATAAAGGTCTCTGGGATATGTTTCACAGATCTGAGGGAGGAAAGGAGAGGAACTATAAGGGACAGTGTATTTAGATATGGAAGGGATGGGGAAGCCCCCTTGGGACTCTCCTTAGGCCATGGCCCTCACTAGCCTTGCTCCATGGGCCCAAGAGCTTTTGCCAGGCTAGAATGTCCTTAAAGTGACTTGTGTGCAGTGGGAAGGTAGCCTCTGGTACAAAGAGCCACAGCCATAGCTCTACCTACTTTTGCCTCTGCCCTCACCAACCAATAGTACACACTACCAGACCTCTGCTCACAAGGGAATATGGCCCTCAGGAAGAAAAATATTCCCCTCCTCAAGATATGGTGTGCAACTGGTGGCATCCATTGAAATCATTGGGAAAGGCCTTTCCCACAGAGCTCCATCTTCACAATGGCTATTGCTCGATTGGAACCCTTACCTAGAAGAATTCTGAAGTATCAGGGCTTCAGTAAAACGCTGACTGGGTTCTTGAAACATGTCAGGAACATAAGACCCCTGCTGGATCAGAGCAAAGGCCTACCTAGTCTGAACTTTCTGTGCTCACAATGGTGAACCATATGCCTGTAGGAAGCTTGCAAGCAAGACATGGGTGCAAAGAGACCTCTCCTGTTTGTGTTACACAGCAACCTCTGACGCTGGAGGTAGCACATAGCCATAGCTTCCATAAATTTGCCAAATTCTCTATTAAAGCCATTCAGGTTGGTGGCCATCACATCAAAATGCTTACATGATTTCAAAAATAAAACCTGGGGGAAAATTAATTCCTAGTGTTAATTATACACTGTCTCTTCTTTAGTTAGAGGCACACCAAGCAAGAAAAAAGTAATTAGAAGAGAAGTGAAGAAGTTGCTGTCTTCTATGTAGCCTTGCACACAAAACTGAACTGAGCTCTACAGCAAGGGGAGAGGGGCCGAATTATATTGCGGCATACATTCTCTCAGTTAATGACGAGTTGAGTCATCCGTCCCTCCTGCATGCAACTGAGTGTGAATTCAATCGAAGCAGCTGCAAAACAGTGGCAAGAAACAAGGTTTTCCAAGCGAACCTTTGAAACTGAATTCCCATGAGGAAAAGGAACAGACCAACAATTATTCCAGCATGAATGAGGTGGAAAATGCCACTTCTCACTTTGGTCTTTCATTTCATTTTTTATTTTATGTTAGCAATCTATTTTATTTTTGCAATCTGTTACCTTGTAATCCCGATTTGCATCTGATAACTGCCAGTCAGAGTTAGGCACGTCCATCCGGTTGTACTCTTCTGCAAGGTCTATGAGCTGCCAGCCTTGCACTCTCTCTTCCTCCTTTTGCTTTGGGTTGTATGAGAAGGCATACAGTTCGTCGTATCTTGCTAAAACAAGCCAGGAGAAAGAGAAAAAGAGGAAGGAGCCTGAGCCTCGCTGAGGGATTCCAGAGTCACCACACTGTCGTTGTTGTTTAATTTATATACTGCTTAATGTCGAAACAGTTTACAAAATATAAAAAGCAGTTGCACAAGCACTCATAATTAAGTTACATTATAAACCACAGTTAAGTTACATGATTAAACAACAGAGCAATTGAACAGGAGAATCAGGTAAAGGGATCAAGGGAATGCCTGTGTAATGAGAAAGGCAGCCACTCTACCTGGTTTTGACAGCTGAAGCAAGGAGTTATAAATATCATGGCAGTCCCTTTCTCTGGGAACAATGAAGTGAACTATCCTGAAGTTCTTGCACTGGATCACCAGGGGGCAGCCGGACGTGGTCAAGGCGAGTTTCTCTACCGCAGCAATATGATGGTGCAGTATCTGCAGCACACAGAAAACCCACAACGGCATGTTCATAATTCTTGGTTTCCACGGAAGAACCACAGACATTATCTCAAGTTGCTTGCTTGTTATTGGACGTGCTACACTACTTAATGCTGTGACCAGTATCCAAAGATCCTGTCCGCAATATTTTTGATTAACAACCTTTTAACATATTTCTATTGCTTTTCTGGACATTTAATATGAAATTTAGTATTTTGCTTTTCTTTTAACTTGCTTTGGGATTTCTTTTAGCTGTATGAAGAAAAAAATAAATAAATTTGATATACTAAATAGAGGAGTAACCCCGGCGGGATTTATTTTTAATTTTTATTTTCTCATACTCCACTGCAAACTGTATCTGAAAGTTAGGAAGATAAGAAGAGCCCTGATACATCAGGCCAAAGCTCCATCTAAGTCCTGCATCCTGCTCTCATAGTGGCCATGGGAGGCAAGCAGAGCCAGGGCGCAACAGCATTCTTCGCACCTTTGGTTCCCAGCAATTGGTATTCAGATAACTCCAAGTTCCCCTCGGATTCAAAAGCGACTTGCCTTGTGGTATGAAGAGCAGAGACTGCTGTTTGAGAGCGCAGTGAAAAGCCCCTTTGGGTGTAGGGATACGAGCTAACCTATATTCTATTAGTCCTGCTTCTGAAGGTGACCTTCAAGAGGCTACAAATGCAGACACACCAACACACTGAGGAAAAACACTAGCTATACATAGCCAGAAACCTGTTAATGAAAGTCTCAGCATTATCTCTCTTTTCAAAGACTAAAATTAAGAAACTACCAAAGGGGGAGATGCCAATTATTCATAACTCAATAAAATTATGGAGTTTAATTAGCTAGACTATTATAGGATATACAGTGCACTTTAAAAAAAAACTGTTTGCAGGATTAAACTATTAACTGTGGTGGAATGGGCAAAGAGAACTGGTGATGTGCCTTGGACCTGGGAATGGGAGACTGACTTCACACACTTGCCAGTGCTAATCTCCACGCATGCACAGGAATGATATCTCGGCAACTGGCCCAAATGAAGTGAGAATACCATAGCCGTCTCTCAGGAGGCTGGAACTAAAGCCTCTGATTCTTGGAAGAGTGCCCTGCAACACATTCGAACAGCACAGCTCAAAGAAGTCAACCTGAAGGAGGCATGTGGTTCAATACCCATTTAAAACAATTGTACCTCACATTCTGCATACTTAAAACAGCTTACAGCAACAATTACACAGTTATTGCAAGACAGGAGACTGGGCCTGGGGAGTCCTCTACATCAGAATACGTAAAGCGACACAAAATAGAATAAAAAGGGTGCCCCATTGGAGAAAACCATCGGAATCCTTACCCATGTCTCTTTCTGGCTCGAGTCTATAAATAACAGGTGAGTTGCTGTGAGATAGAGCGTTCCTGTTTGTGACTTGATGTTTGTGCTGAAACGATCTAATAATTTCACCTGTTCGACCTGTGAGGGCAAGGGGGAAAAGAGAACACATTGCCATGAAGTAAAGCTATGAAACATATGATCTTGACATAAAAACAGCCTGGTCATTCAGTTCATTATCTCCTCAAGAGGCAGATCGCTGTCTGGCAACAAAGTGTGTGTGCATTTGCAAGGACAACCTTTAGCCTTCACAACGCACCAATAATGCAAAATGCAGCCACCAGGCATGCGACAGATACCCTAACGTGAACGGCCTACGCTGCAGCAGCTAACATGTGCCTGCTAACAGGAAGAACCGCTCGGCTAGAACATTTTCTGGCTTTGTATCTTCCCGTTCTGACTGCTGACCAAGAGAACAACATTCTGGTTGGGCTAGTAAAACCCTGGCTAAGTGGTAACTCAAGATCAACTGGTTCCATGGGCTGTCTTTGCAAAGGTGACAATGCAGCCTCCAGAACAGAAACGGGATACTCTATATCAGGGGTCACCAACCTAAGGCCCATGGGCCAGAAGCGGCCTGCAGAGGTCATCTGACTGGCCCACGAGCCACCCCCAAACCGAGTTGCCCGCTAAACCGGCGCAGCGCAGCACGGGGACTCACTTCCACAGTGCCGGAAATCACATCTGCGCAGGACTGATCCGGCCCAGGCAAGATAAACCTTCCTGACCCCTGCTCCATATTCTATTAAGCCTCTTGTGTTTTTTCAGTACAGTTCTGCTGTGAACAAATTCTCCCACAATTCATGCAATGATCTCAGAAAGACTACTTGGAAAGACTGCTCCTAGAGAGATAGAGGGCTAGGGGCTACTTTTCCCGCATCCAACTTGGAGCACAGTTCAAGAACTGCTGAGCAGATAACACAGCAACACGAAAGTAAGGCTATAGACTTTGGGTGGCAACCCCCATACCTATACATGGAACCAAACACAGCTTCTCACATGCTAAGACAAATAGAGGGTTCTGTTGTAGCCCACATATTTAAGGAAGAATGTGGGTGCTTGTTTTTTAGGTGTGTTGTTTGCTGTGTGCTACTGAGGAGGGAAAGTATGGTGCTGTGTGGTTATGCCACATATGTCCTATAAGGCCTATTCTGAACTGAGACTGAGGGGAAATCTATCCTTCTTAGAAAACGAAAAAGCTCCTCAAAACACAAAGGCTGAGAAGAGGGCCTTGCGTGCAGTATTCTTCCAAAATAACATAGGATGCTTTCAGCTGTAGCAGAGAGCAATTTACAGAAGGTGCACTCAGAAATTTAGCTGCTTTTAACCGATCGGAAATTGACTTTGAATGTTCTACAGGTCTGTTTTGTCTGAATCCCAAGAGCAGGCCAGAAAAGCTACCACAAAGAGGCAATAAGGGAAGATTTGGCAAGGATGAGTTCCTCATATTCTCTTGGCAGGATTGGCTCATTAGCACTAATTCACCAGTCTGCTCCTAGAGCTCTAACAATGAGTCTGCCACAAGATTCAGAGAGCGCATCTCTCATACAGTCCAGCAGAATTAGAACTCAAGGGAGAAAGCAGCAGCAACAATGGAACTTCCTGCATCAGCAATGCAGGTATCTGCAATTCCTGAATTCTATCTCAACGTCAATATTTGACCTGGCTAGATTACAAGAAACATTTTATAACCAATTCTCCAGCTCTTTGCTTTTTAAAAATGCTGGCAATACAAATCAGTAAGCATCATTTAAATAAGTAGCTTTCAGAAATATGATGGTGCTAATTTGCAGGAAACAGAAAATCAGCAGCTTCAACTAAAGCAGCCTTCCAGGCACGTTTTATGTTAAAAAATAATTAGGACAAGCTACACAGGCAGACTGGATCAGGTCAAAGTCACATGACCAGGGTCTAAAGTAAAGCAAGCCCTTAAGTGGCAGAGACTTGCCAGTTTGTGAACTGTACTTTCCCCCCTTACTCAGCCACCCTGTCCAATTTTGATAAGCACAACTGTACACCAATAAACAAGAAAACATGAGCATCCTCAGAAATGAAGTCTAACGGAACAGGTAACTGTAGGGCAGGATTTATTTAATTTTAAGGACTGAACTTTTTGCAAAGTATCAAGTATAAACGTGGCATAAATCCATTTCTCCATAAGCTAATTTATGGCTGCTATCATGTTGCTACATGTGCAGCCCTTAGGATGAAACAGTAGCTTACACACATAGCCAATCACTTTGAGCTGTTGAATTATTTGCAAAGTAAACAAGACAACCCATGAAAATGTGGGACAAAGGAGTGGCCACTGAGGACCAATGTGGCGTAGAGGTCACTGGTGAAGAGCAAGGAAAGCATAAAGGTAAAGCTGCACCAGCTTTGTAGTAATAGGTGACCAGGAAAACGAGCAAGCTGGCAGAGGAGGGACGGGTGACTTATCATTCCTCTGTGCTCAATACAGAAACCAAGTACTATAGATTGCCAGAGGAGGGAACGGCTCTCTTCTGCACCCAGTATAGGAATGAGGTGGGCTCTTTATCCCTTCTCTACTGGGCTCCAAGCAAGCTATTAAAACACTCTGCAGGCTAGTAACTTTTGTGGGCTTATTTACAAGGTTGCTTTGTGAGCATTTTGTTGCTTTTTAAGGGTGATTCTTTCTTCTTTGGAGCTCCCCAAAGGAAACTTCAGCATTGTAACATAATTTCTTCCTTCTTAGGAACTCCCCCAAAGAATATTCAACCTTGTAGATTTATACAGAGTTGAACAGACAGCATAAATCACATGACAGGTGCTTCTGCCTTCTGAAAGATAACCATTTTAAGTCAAAAGGAACAGGCTGAGATTCAGCCCACAACATTTTGCTGCCTGAAGTGAAGGAATACAGTGGTACCTCTGGTTGCGAACGGGATCCGTTCTGGAGGCCCATTCGCAACATGAGCAGAACGCAATCCGTGTCTGCACGTGCCGCGATTCACCGCTTCTGCGCCTGCACGTGACATCATTTTGCGCGTCTGCGCATGTGTGAGTGGCGAAACCTGGAAGTAACCCTTTCCGGTACTTCCGGGTCGCCGCGGAACGCAACCTGAAAACGTTCAACCTGAAGCAAACGTAACATGAGGTATGACTAGATGGTACTCTCCACATGGGCATAGGGTTATACAGTGGTAGCTCGGGTTAAGTACTTAATTCGTTCCAGAGGTCCGTTCTTAACCTGAAACTGTTCTTAACCTGAAGCACCACTTTAGCCAATGGGGCCTCCTGCTGCTGCCGGAGCACGATTTCTGTTCTCATCCTGAAGCAAAGTTCTTAACCTGAAGCACTATTTCTGGGTTAGCGGAGTCTGTAACCTGAAGCGTATGTAACCCGAGGTACCACTGTATTGGGGGTGGGGCAGGCTTTATGTTTGGGGGGGGCAGAACCGAGGTATCTGTAATGCAAGTAGTCAGTTAAGTCTTTTATTTATTTAATTTGGGGGGAGGCAGCCCCCCCCTGCACCACCCATGTACAGAAGCATGGCAGCTGAATCTTGTTTCAGTGCTAGGAATAGGATGGTGTTCTTCACAGCACCTGAGGGGAGCAGAATATCTTACAGGATGCAGGACAGGACATGGCTTGCATAGCTCTGTCCTCCGACAAAAAAGGACAGCCAGGAAACTCAGAGGAACATCAGGGACCCCAGCATCTGTACCCTCAGGTGGCTGTCCCAGTCTGCCTAGTGATTGGGTATGCCCTGAATACGTTTCATACTCCTTTTGAGGTGCAGGTCTTTCCTCTTCAGCTGATGATTTCCCACAGCAGCAATTTGCCTCAGTTAGCATTTTGAAACTTGCAGATTACTACTGTAGATAAGTCATGTGCTTCCTCCTTTCTCGCTGCCATACAAAGTTTCATTCAAAGGATATCTGAATTTCAGTGAAAGGTTTAATTTTTAAGAAGTAAAAAATACTGCAGGTCACATACACCAAGAGTAAATACTGATTGATACTCTGGAGTGGTTTTGCTTTGCAGACAGGTTGTGCTACATCAGCAAACAGTCTATATGGCTCTGAGATCCCTGCACACAGATCACATTTCAGGCTAAGGTCAGTGATCCTCTACAATGCAATAGAGCTTTTACTTAAGAAAAGTAGTAAATGGTCAAAGGGCAATATTAAACTTCTCAGGTCTAAACACAATAATCTTTGTTTTTGATTCTCCACAATTTAAACTCATATTGAGCCACTGTTTTCCAGCTACTCACAAAAACACTGAGTTACTTTAGCTTCAGAACTAAACAATTGGGGTGGGGTGTAGAGAAAGATAATAAGTTTTTTATTTGCCTGCAGGTATGCTTGTTTAAAGGTAAAGGACCCCTGACAGTTAAGTCCAGTCGCAGACGTCTCTGGGGTTGCAGCGCTCATCTCATTTTACTGGCTGAGGGAGCTGGCGTTTGTCCGCAGACAGTTTTTCTGGGTCATGTGGCCAGCATGACTAAGCCACCAGAGCAGCACATGGAAATGCCGTTTACCTTCCCACTGGAGGGGTACCTATTTATCTACTTGCACATTTTGGCATGCTTTTGAACTGCAAGGTTGGCAGGAGCTGGGACCGAGCAACAGGAGCTCACCCCGTCACAGGGATTTGAACCGCCGACATTTTGATCGGCAAGCCCAAGAGGCTCAGTGGTTTAGACCACAGCGCCACCCACGTCCCTGTAGAATGCTTGTTTATACAGTGATAAAACTTCCCTAAGAGCACAGCAATATAAGATGATGTCGTTTTTAAAAAGAAAATATTTTGAATTCAAATTGGAAATGAGCTGCATTAAAACTGCCATGTAACCCTTACATGGCTTCCACTGAAAAGACATAGGAACAGAGAAAACTGTCTCCTACTGAGCCAGACCATTGACCCATCTAACTCAGTACTGTCTACACTGACTGGCAGTGGCTTGCCAGTACTTCAGAGTCTTTCCCATTGCTGCCTGGAGATGCTGGGGATTGAACTTGGGACCTTCTGCATATAAAGCAGATGCTCTACCTCTGAGCTTGGCCCCTCCAAAAGACCTGGCAAGAGAGATGGAAAAGATAATGTGGAATTTGTTGTCTATCTCATGACATGATCTCATAAAATCAAATGGGCCCCACCCTTGACTGAGAGCCCTGTCAGAAAATATCACCCTGTAGGTTACAAGAAGACGACTGGAAACACATCAAAATTAGAACCAGAGAATTGTAGAGTTGGAAGGGACCATAAGAGTCATCTTGTCCAACCCCCTGCAATGTGGAAATCTTTTGCCCACAACCCTAAGATTAAGATTTTCATGCTCCACCTCTCGCCTTACATCAGGCAATATCTAAACCCCTACACTGGCTTCCTGTCCACTCCCAGATCCAGCACAAGCTCACTCTTAACCCCCAAAGCCCTCCATGGCTTTGCCCACCCCCACACTTATATTGAGATACATACCTGCCTGTGACCTTCACTGCTCCAGCTGAAGGCCTCTTGCTCTCGCAAAAGACTACACCCTTTCTCCATTGCTGCTCCATTTGCTTACAACTGTCTCCCCAAACACCTGCATGAAGCCTCCTCTCATGTCCTTCAAATCTACCCACAAAACCTACCTTTGGCACAAGCCCCAGTTTCCCATGTCCTGCTGCAATTAAGCCGATGCATGTGTAACTGGGGCAACTACATATTGCTTGCCTGTTTCTCCTTCTGCCATTTGCCTTTCGCCCCTGTGGTTTCCCATCAAATTATGTATTTCAAGCTCCTTGGGACAGGAACTATGCTCTTGAACTTCATAAGATATCATGCCCGCTGACACAGAACACACACACATATATAATTGAAAAGTTATTTCTAAATAAGCACGAATAAGATAGGGCTATGTGGCTGCAACCTTAACAGACAGCAAGTACTATGGAGATTAGTGGAGTTTGTTGGATTAAACAACAGGATTAAATAGCATCACATTACTGTGGCCTAAACTTCTGCAGCCTAAAGCCCACTATCATCACACATAGAACCATGGGGTCACTAGTCCATGAAAATTTAAGGATCCCATTAAATTCTAAGTTCAGATATGCAGAAAACAATATATGTAAAGAAATCAGGGAGGGGAGCTGAGGGAAGTCCGGGGGGGGAGGGAGGGTTGGGGGGGAAAGGGGGGAAAATTATGTAATTAAGAGGATTGACAAATTGTTATGTTGAAATTGGTTAATAAAAATATTTTAAAAAATAATAATTCTAAGTTCAGATACAGCCTGCTGCAGCAAACAGCAAAAGAATCCCAGAGGGTGACTGACATTCATCCAAGTTTTACTCAGAGTGGACTCGCTGAATATTTAGCCATGCTCGTTCATTTCAGTGGGCCTACTCTTGAGTAAAACTCAGTTGCATTCCAGCCAGTATAGCAGCAACCTTAATGCCCAACCACCCAAGGCATTGTGCCATAAACCACCATGGCCTCGGAACCAATTTCCTCAAATTCTGGCTAGACGATGGAAACAAGTAAAGAGCTTAGGCGACAGCAGGATTGACCACGGTGCCATAAGACTGTTTCGTGTGCATGTTTTGCTGCAACCTTAAAGCCCCGCCGAGCTGAATGGGAATGACTTCTAGGGTAGATATGGGTCTGTTAGGACTGCAGCCTAAGGCACACGCAGGCTTGCGCCTGAGTAGGCATGCACAGGGTTTCACGGCAAGGCTGTGATCCGGGAGCAAGCTCAGTCCGGTGCTCAAGAGGAAGCCCGCCACCGCCCCACATCTCGGCCCCCGGGGTCTGCAAGGCTCCCTCCCACGTTCCTCCGGCGGCGGGCAAGGCCCCGCTCAGTTACCTTCGTGGTGCGAATGTGCTCCATGATGCCACCGCGCCCAAGCTGCCCGCCGCCGCCGCCGCCCCTCTCCGACTGGCCGCTCAGCCGGCGTCTCCTGGAGACACTTCCTGATAATCGAGTGCTGGGGGTGGAGGTGGGGAGACCAAAGCGGCCTGCAAGAGGGCCGGATCCGTCCCACAGCGACCCCTGCCGGGTGGAAGACCCGGTCAAATAAGAGAGGGAATTCTCAAACAGAAAAGGCCGCTTTATTTACTTGCTCATCATTCCACCCATCACCACAGGGCGGTTTACCAATACAGTATACGAACACACACAAAATATGCACCCTAATAACAAACAAAAACAATGCCACACAAACACACACGCAGTTTAAAAGGCCGTAGGATTGGAAATAAGTCCCTACCAGAAAAGAAGGGCAGATCAAGTTGATGCGATGATGCAAAAATGGCTAAAATGACCAGAAGAATCAGAAATCAGGTAGACCAAAATTTTAATAAGGAATAGGGGGAAATCTATAATTTCTTAAGTAAAAACCATTGTAAACAGTTAAAATCGTTCGTAGGATCGGAATAACACTTGTAGTTTAATGGTGAATTTTGGACACAATGGAGAGGTAAAAGATTTTGATTCTTATAAAAGATGCAGGAGGAAATGGTTAACTATAGGACCCACAAAGGGGAGGAGTGAAGTCCAGGAGATTCTTTGGAATCTTGTTTCTATATTGTATGTATGTTGGATATATGACTGTAAAATTTTAATCCGAAAAAAACAAATAAAGTTATTTTAAAATTAATTAATTAATTAATTAATTAATTAATAGGCCACAGGGTTACTTAACTAGCCAAGGGCCTGGGAGAAGAGGAACCTTTTCTCCTGCGTCTAATGAAGGCAACAGATGAACCTCCCCCGGGAGAGAAGTTCATGAACAGGGAGCCACTACAGAAAAGGCCCGTTCTTGCATTGCATATCCTGGGCTTCGTATCCTTGTTTAAAATATATTGATATAGACACCTGCTGAAGATCATACTTCATATATCTAGCAGACTCCAAGGAAGGTGAAGCCAGAATAAATATGTTTCAGGTGACACAAGGGTAGCCATTGGTAAACTGGAATACTTGTGACATCATCCATCCGGCCAATCAACTGGGAATTTCCCAACAACAAAGGGGTCTGGGTTACACTGTCACGCTGATTAGCTGGGAAAGGGTTAAGGGCATTTTCTGATTCAGTTTACACAGATGAAACTGCTTTTAGGAAAGTGTCACGCTAGCAACTATGTCAAGGAAGAATGACTTTTGTAATCTGGGGCTTCTCTGGAGGGGTGGCCCCAAAACCAACAATGCAGGCAGGTAAAAAGCTTCATTGCATACTAATGTTCAGAGGTGCTATGTCAGAGGTAAGGGGGAAAAGGGGGGGGAGAATAAGGAGCGGGTGGCGCTGTGGTCTAAACCACTGAGCCTCTTGGACTTGCTGATCGAAAGGTTGACAGTTTGAATCGTCACGATGGGGTGAGCTCCCGTTGCTCTGTCCCAGCTTCTGCCAACTTAGCAGTTCGAAAGCACACCAGTGCAAGTAGATAAATAGGTACTGCTGCGGCAGGAAGGTAAACGGTGCTTCCATGCACTCTGGCTTCTGTCATGGTGTTCCTGAAGCGAGATGAGTGCTGCACTTAACTGTCCAGGGGTCCTTTACCTTTTTTACCTTACTATGTCAGATCAGGACACGGAGGTAAGATTTATTATATCCAGAGGCAGCATCTACCGAGGCAGCTTTAAGAGTCTCCAGAGCTTATTTCTTTATTCCTGATAGTATATAGTATTGTTCATGAGAAAGTCCAGTCACCTGACCAATTTGCTAAGCTGTGGGATTTGTGCCTTTGATGTGCAGTTCTAGAATACAGTCCCAAGACTGTACAGTCAGCATGAGTTAGATGTGGTTCAGCCTGCTGAGATCACTCTGTGAAAGGAATAGGGGGTCTCTTATCAATTATCGTAGGGTTGCTATATTTCAAAAAGTGAAAGGCCAGATACAAAAGTTGTTGAATTTCTTTGGCAAAGTTGTTGTGCTGCCATATGCCCGGATTTTCGCCGATTTTTGAAAATTCCATCCGGACGCTATTTTCGACGGATGAATCCCAGGTATGTCTGGGAAATTCCGGACGTATGGCAGTCCTAATTATCAGCACCTCTAACAAACTACAGTTCCCAGGATTCTTGGGGGGGGGGACGACACATGATGACCCAGGACTGTTAAAGTGGTGTAGTTGTGCTTTAAATGCATGCTATACTTTTAACCATACTGTGCAACATCTGGTGGTGGGGAAGAGATATGAATATAAAATTAGGTTTCAGATTACTTTGAGAGACATTTTGTGTCTTTAGTTCAAAGATTTTTGATGCAACTTTTAATCAAATTATCTCCAAGGCAGTTTACCCAGCAATACAATACAACAACACAGTGGCTTTTGTTCCTCTGTCCACTGGCAGAAGCCAGAGTCTTCCCTCCCCCTCACATCTGTTGTTCCAGAGCAGCTGTCAGTTGAGCAAAGTTATCTCCCTGCAGCCACAGCTCTGTCATCTAGTTTAAGCGTTAGAATCTTATCTTGCCATGGAAATACAACTACATAAAGCAGGAGGCTTAGCAATTTAAAGTACAGTATGATGAGGAACAAGCAGCTGGATCACCTGCCTACCTCCATCCTTTCTTTTTGAAAGCCATTTTGAAGAAATTTCCTCAACCCCCCAGTGGGCAAGAAGTGTGAAAGATAGAATGTTTTCCTCACAGTTTGTTGAGTGTGGTGTAGTGGTTAGAGCTGGTGAACTAGGACTTGGGAGACCAAGGTTCAAATCCCACGCAGGACTACAAAGTTCATGGGGTGCTCTTTGCCCAGCCACCCATTGCCTCTCAGCCACACCTACTACTCAGGATTGTTACAAGGATAAAATGTGGAGTGGGAGAACCATGTATGTAAATATAAGAACAATTAAATAAATAAACCAGTCTTTCTTCCCCCAACCTGGTGCCCTCCAGAGGTTTAGGACTACAACTCCCATAGTCCCTGACCATTGATTATGCTGGCTGCAACTGATGGAAGTTGCAGTCCAACAATATCTGGAGGCCACTAGGTTGAAGGCTGCCATAGAGGTGAGGAAGTAGGTAACGTGGTAGTCTTATAATGTTGTTGGACTTCAACTTTCTGCCTATGCTGGTAGGGGCTGATGGGAACTGTAGTCCAACATCATCTTGAGGACTCATTTCCGTTTTTTTTCTAAACTTTTCCCTGCTCCGCTAGCCAGGAGAAATTAAGAGCTGGCTATAGAAATCAAATAGAGAACTCCATTATTTTATCTTAATTTTATATCTGAACAACAGCTGGTCACTCCACACACCAATGAGTACAGCCAAGTAGTAGTATTAGGTGGGCATTCCTGCTAGGTGTTATTTTGTAAAAAATAATTATTATCTCAGCGTTTTTAAACATTTAGGTTAGACTAGAGCCTCACTGAACTCTACTTGTGAGTAGACATCTCATCCACATGCAAACCAATGAAATATTAGACTTCTTTATACAGGTGAGCGCTGGATGTGCACAGGCAGGTCAATTTAAATGGACATTTCCTGCAACTTTCGTGTTTCGCAAGTGGGAATTTTGAAAGGAAGTCCAAACGAGCCCAGTTCCTAAACTACTGTCTCAGCTTCTAGCTCCACTCATCATTTATGTTATTTATTTTCTGTATTAATTTATTCCCCCTCCTAAAAAAAAAGATCCCAGGGCAGAAATGACATAAGGCCAAAGTTAAACGAGAATATCAAACCAGGCCAACATAAACTTCATACAAATTAAACAACAGCGACAATGACAATTTCAAGCTAGCATCCCTCACCTTTAAAAGGATGGCGGGCAAAGAGGTACGAATGCATTTGTTATGAGCATAGTCTACATTTGAAGTCGCACGGTTAGGGCGATTAATTTTTTTATGTTCAAAAATGCCTTAATGCCCACCGCACTCCGAAATAGGTCTTGGCTTCCTAGAACATAAATGCTCTCCTGCTACCTGTTGCGGAGGACGCGCTGCTGCCCAACTACACCTGCCCTAAAACACGGACTTTACCAATTTCTACGGGCAGAGCTCTCTCACTCCCGCTCAAGTTTATAACGTGAACCCCGGAAGCTTCCTATCCTAAGGGGTGGAAAGCAGTCTACACTTTTTCTTTATCTTTGCGGTCCACTAGGATTATCGAAAGTTGTAGGAGGGGGGAAGAGAGAAAGAGCGTCCTCCACGATCCCATGGTGCCGTGCGGCTGCGCGCATGCGCGAAGGGAAAAGAACGTGCGACGGAGTTTCCCTCCGACGTTTATTTGCGGCGCCGCCGGTGGCGTAATTCGAGCTCCCGAATCTTGCCGCCTTTTGAAACTTCCCGCCGGGGAGAACTCCGAAGAGCCGCAGCCTGACAGGGCGGCTGCAGTTCAGAGAGCTCCGGCCATAACGACCCCACATCCCACGCTTGGGAGTGGGGGGGGGGGTCTCCTTTCCCCCCTCGCCGCCGCCATGTCGGCGGGCTTCTCCTTCGGAGCCGGGACTCTGCCTTCGGCTACCGCAGCTGCTGCTGGTACTGGAGGCGGCGGCGGAGGGGGCTTCTCGTTTGGAGGCACCCCGAGGTAAGCAGGGCGTGGGGGGGCGGGGGAAGTGTGGCGGCACCTCGGGCGGAGCAGGGAGTAGACTTGGCCGGCAGGGCTCGGTTGAGGGCATCGCCTCGCTGCCATTATTATCCTCGGCTTGTTACGCATAACACGCGCGCCCAAGTTGCTCGAGGCTGCGCACGTGGCTCCCTCCCCACCCCAACCCTGTGAGGTAGGCTATGCTGTGCGGTGAAAATATCTCCCATGCCCAGCTTCGTGGCTGAAGCTGGGATTTTAGCCTGGGTCTTCCAGAGTCCACGCTGGGATTTATTTTGAAGTGTGCTGTGAACAGCAGCCGAAGTGAAGTACTTAAAAAAAAGAAAGAAAACTCAACTAGAATTTCTGCGATAAAAGCATTATTATTATTATTATTATTAATTGAATTTGTATACTGCTCTATACCCAGAGGTCTCTAGGCGGTTCACAGAACAAAAGATAAAACCACAAAAAACATAATCAAAAAGAACCAAATAACCCCCATATATAATAATTGCCACAATATGTCCAGCTTGCAGGGTGAAGTGATTTTGGATGTCTCAGAAAGAGCCACAATGAATAATAGCTAAACTCAAAAGCAAAACCTAAGATGGCAATTGTAGTCACACATTGGGTTAAGTCCCATTGGGCTCAGTGGGACTTGCTTCTGGGTAAGTGTGCATCTGAGATGGTGAAACTTGAGGAGAAACAAGTATGTCCTGTGAAGAATATTAGATATCTGCAGATTGCTGGCTGTTTTCTTTTGGACAAAATAAAAAAAAATCCTTCCAGTAAGTTTGTTATTGGTATGAGCTTTCGTGTGCATGCACACTTCAGACATCTTCTGTACTTAAGCCAGCTGTACTCAGCTTCTCTGAAGGAATAATCCAAACATCATGAGCCTTCTGCTTGTTTCTTTCACACAGTGAAGCTTCCAGAAGCCTCTTGAATTAATTAGAATAGGAAAGATCTCTACACATCTGACCAATACTTTCTGTACCAAGAAATGCAAACTGATAAGGCCATGCCTGGAAATTCACTTGCCATTTAAATAATAATAATAAGCAGGTACATAATGTTGCAAAGCAGAGTGTTCCTGTTCAGCTCCCCCACCTCCCTTGCTCCCCCTGCAGCAGCCAGCCACTATTTTATGGTTGCTGAGCATCCTCATTCCTCACTGAACTCTTTAGGAGGTATTTATGTATTGGTTTTTATTCTCTGTATATCTTCTTGAGTTTCTGTTCTTAAATTTTCCTGTACTTCTCCAGCAGTCAGGATTCCCACTAGCCTCTTGTGTTTTCGATGGTGCTGTTTTAAGTGCATAAGATAGCTGCTTTCACTATTAGCGTAGAGCAGTGTTTCCCAACCGGTGTTCCGCGGCACACCAGTGTGCCGTGAGACCTTGCCTGGTGTGCCGTGGGAGGGAGGCGGGAGAGGCGGGGCGGCGGCGGCATCTCCTGCTGGATGCAAATCCAAACATTGCGGGCGGCAGCCTGCAGCGCGGAGCGCGGGGCGCCCTTTGGAGGACGCCCCGTGCTTCGCGCAGCTGTCCGCAAGCCTTGGGCGCCTGGGGGAACTCCCCCCCGGCGCGCAAGGCTTGCGGGCGGCAGCCTGCAGCGCGGAGCACGGGGCGCCCTTTGGAGGACGCCCCGTGCTTCGCGCAGCTGTCCGCAAGCCTTGGGCGCCTGGGGGAACTCCCCCCCCGGCGCGCAAGGCTTGCGGGCGGCAGCCTGCAGCGCGGGGCGCCCTTTGGAGGACGCCCCGTGCTTCGCGCAGCTGTCCGCAAGCCTTGGGCGCCTGGGGGAACTCCCCCCCCCGGCGCGCAAGGCTTGTGGCGGCAGCCTGCAGCACGGAGCGCGGGGCGCCCTTTGGAGGACGCCCCGTGCTTCGCGCAGCTGTCCGCAAGCCTTGCGCGCCCAGGGGAACTCCCCCCCGCGTGCACGGCTTGCGGGCGGCAGCCAGCAGCGCGGAGCACGGGGCGCCCTCCGTAGGAGGCTGCGGAGGGTGGCGCGGAGCTGCCCGCGCTCCAGGGCTTCTTGCAGCTCCGCGCCACCCCCGGATCCCGGTGCGAAGCCGCGCGGGGCTGCGGAGGGTGGCACGGAGCTGCCTGCGCTCCAGGGCTTCTTGCAGCTCCGCGCCACCCCCCGGATCCCGGCGCGAAGCCGCGCGGGGCTGCGGAGGGTGGCGCGGAGCTGCCTGCGCTCCAGGGCTTCTTGCAGCTCCGCGCCACCCCCCGGATCCTGGCGCGAAGCCGCGCGGGGCTCCGGAGGGTGGCGCGGAGCTACCTGGGCTCCAGGGCTTCCTGCAGCTCTGCACCACCCTCTGGATCCTGGCGCGAAGCCGCGCGGGGCTCCGGAGGGTGGTGCGAAGCTGCCTGCGCTCCAGGGCTTCTTGCAGCTCCGCGCCACCCCCCGGATCCCAGCGCGAAGCCGCACGGGGCTCTGGAGGGTAGCGCAGAGCTGCCTGCATCCCGAAGCCTGGTGTGCGCTGAAGAGCGCCCCCGGGCTTCACGCACCTCTCCGCAAGCCTGGGGAGACCAGTGTGGCTCCCTAGGCTTGCGGATATCAGGCTGTTCTGGGGGCTGGGGTCGGGGGAAGCTTGGGCTTCCCCCGCGCCTGCCCCGTGCCTGGGGAGGGGAAATTTTTTTTTTCTTTATTCTCCCCCCCAAAAATTAGGTGCGTCTTATGGGGCGGTGCGTCCTATGGGGCGAAAAATATGGTAGTCAATATAGGCACAGAGTTAAATTTTTAACATTTTCTAATGGTGGTGTGCCTCGAGATTTTTTTCATGAAACAAGTGTGCCTTTGCCCAAAAAAGGTTGGGAAACACTGGCGTAGAGGATGATAATGATGGAAGGAGTTTAGGCTAAGCTCACCATCACATTGAACACACTACGTTTTTGTGTTCTTTTCCCCCTCAATGTTCTTTACACTGATTGCTCTGTGTCTGACACTCAGGGTGTTAAAACATGAAATAAACTTTACAAGTCCTGATGAGAATAGCTGTCAGATTTTATTTGTGTTGTACTCACAGTTGCTTTCCATATTATGGCCATGATAGAGCTCATCTGCACTGTCTTATAATATATTACATTCGTACTGTCGTAACTTTAAGCCATTTAAACTTGCTGGTTACATCATTATTAATTTTGCAACACAGACATTCCATGTCTGAAATGTTATATGAGATCCAAAACAGAGTTGACAGCAATTATAGAAGCTGCTTGTTGTGTTATTACTGGAGAGCCAACAGCATCACGTAAACTTTTCTGCCTGATAGATGATGGTGAGTGAACAATAGTAGAAATTGAAAACCATGTATGAAATGTGTTGCATTGCTATAAGGATTTTTTATTCTACTTTAGTCTGAATAAGAGCTCACTTTTAATCTGCTAATAACTTCTTTTAAAACTTGTTCTGGGATGTGAGAAATAAAGTTAACTGTATATCCCCGGGATAGTCAGGCCCTACGCTTCAGACTGAAAATGTAAAGAATTTTGTGTTTCCTAAAATATTTCCTGTAATGTCAGAAGTTTAGTTTAAGAGCCGCTTCATTCTAGTGGACTGTTTTTGATTCAGCTTGAGTTGAAATCACTAATGTCTTTGGGTCTCTGTCTGTCCCTTTCCATATAGGGTTCTGAAACATGTAATTAGTTACTTGATTATGTTAACACTGCAAATGCAATTGGTTGTTTTAAGCTAAAATAATGACAGTTTAGCAACAAAAAAGGCAATATAAATCTTGGTTGACTTGAGGGTGAAATATCTGCTGGTAGCATTTACGTTCATATTAAAAGGAGAAATATGGAAGAGGCATTTTGACTTTCAAACTGTTCTGTAGAACTACTGCAATGAAGAAATAAAAAAAATGAATGTGTGTTAAATTTAACTAATTTATTTGTCTTGTAATGTAGCTCAACTGGAGGGCTTAATTTTGGGACATTGGGCTCGACAGCTACAGCAACTACAACCGCTTCATCGGTAGGCTTTGGAACTGGACTTTTTAGCTCAAAACCTGCCACTGGTTTTACATTGGGAGGGGCTAATACAGGTAAAATATTATATTTCTACACTTTTAAGATGAGACAAGTATAATGACATTTGAAATGTGTAAAAAAATATAGTAGGTTATAAATAACCGTATATGCATTTGGTTAAAAATAACACTTTATATACCTGTATACTAGACAAGCATATATGGAACTGTAGTTGTTTGCATATACTGTGTAGTGATATAATATACCTTTTTTGCTTTTCTCTTTATGCATTTTTTATTTTTACTTTATTTTGTTCAATTGAAAAATAAAAAAGGTGAGCCTTGAACTGGTAATAGATTTGAGAGTTAGTGATGAGAATTAGTGGCAAAATGCAGGAGTAGCTAAAATTTCAAATTATATTCAGTAATTTTGCTCCTTGCCAAAATATTTATATCTTCATTATTAAAAGCACTCTCTGGTTATATAGTATTATTAGAGAGCTGATAATGTATTAAAAAAAAATTTATGCATTTTACATATCTTAATATATCAGTTATACAGTTGTCATTGTTTCTCTCACACTCTGACTTCCACACACATCCCTCTGGGGGGTTCTATTTAGTCCTTGTTAAGCTGCATCTCCTTAATTACCACCCCTCTTCTGCTTATTTTATCTGCTGCTCATAAACCTAATGCCACTTGGAAGTTTATCTGATTGTTATATTTCTTTTAACATTCGCCAAAGTATTCCCACTCTTCTTTTATATCCAACTCATCTTGATTTCTTATCTTTGCAGTCAACATTACTACTCTGCATATTCTATTAGCTTATTCTGCCAGTCTATTTTTGTCCTTCAACCTTTAGGCATAAATTATTCTGGCCGCTGTTTTTGCGTAGAGGAAAAAAGACTTAAGTACTTTCTTGGGTATTTCCCCCTCTACTATACTCGGTAAGAACATCTCTGGTTTCTTGGGAAATGAGACCCTTAACATCTTTTTTAGTTCTGAGTACTGTATATCATCTCCCAATACTCTCTGGCTTTCTTACACCCCCGCCACTTGTGTGTAAATGTCCCTTCAATCTTCTGATAATGGATTTTAAGTCACCAATTTGGGGTAAGTGATAAATCTGTTAGGCAACAGGCAATAGAAGTGTGGTTTATTAAACTCAGGGTTTTTTCTACTATTACACAGGAACAGCAACCTCCATGGCTACAGGATTGACACTTGGTAAGTGCTATATGTTCAAAGCTAGCTTTGCATTTTCTTTAAATGGGGTGTGACTTTCAGAGCTGCCCAAACAAAAAGTTCTGGATTTGGATGATGAGAGACTAGGAATGCTGGATAAACCCCAAAGATGACTAAAGTGTCAAGAAGAAAAATATGAAAGTAAAAACTGTAGATAATGGTACATTAAGAACATGTACTCAAATATTTACTTGGTTGGTTCAAATCCAGGTGTAACATTCAGCTCCCCACCTCCTTTCCACGGCCTTGTTAGCCTTCCTGATCCCCAGTCTCCAAAGCTCTTGGCTATTCATGTGTTATGATATGTGCTATTCAATTTCTGTGACCTGCCTACGTGATATTTTCCCATTATCTTTCTATTTGTTTCCCTGTTTTCTTCATGTTCTTTTTATCAAGTCTGTCTCTTCCTCCCATTTTTCTCAAAGGTGCCTGTATTCAGGCCACAACCACAGTCCATAGCCATCAACAATTCTGCTTCCACACTCTGTATAATCTGTTAAGGGCGTCCCATTGATATGAGTTAGAATTGAGCTAGCATGTCTTGGTTGTGATCCCATGCCTGATGCAGCTTGGGTGCCATCCTGGACTGGGCCCTGCTTCCAGGTATCCAGGTTGTAGAAGTGGTCAAAAGTATACTTTTGTCAGGTGCATCTGATTCTTCATCCAGTCGCTCCTTAGTTAAAAGGACTAGGCTACTGTCACTTATGCATGGTGATCTCTGAGTTGGGCTACAGTAAAGTACTCTATGTCGGGCCACTATTGAAGTTGGGTAGTGATAGCTGGTGCCAAATTCTTCTGCCTGTGTTTTGACCGGAATGGCCCAAAGAGTATATTGTGTCGCTTATTGTCCACTTGATCTGTCTACAGTTTCTGGCTACTATCCTTTGTCCTGATGGTTGTCCTGTAAAGCAGTGAATAGCTTGGACCCATTATATTCTAGGTTCTCCAATGCTCTGAGATGAACCAGAAACCTTGTTTCAGGTGATACATATTAAAAACATGAAACTTGTCGGTGCCCAGGGTTGACCTTCCCCAGTGGTGGTGATGATTTTGTCATCGTATCCCCTGGGAGTGGGGACAACAGTGTTGGGAAGCAGTGCATATATTATTGGTTGTTGTTTTAAAAGAATTTCAGAAGCATTCAAAATAATGGGAAGCTTGGCTATCTCTTACTGCTAGTACATATTGCTAAATGTGTTTCACTGCTTTGAGTCTAATGGAAGAGTGATTGGAAAAATTAATGTGGCTTTGCTCACTTTTCACTGGTTATATACAGATCTAGAGTAATAAATTTAGAATTCTTAATTTTACTGAACATACCCAGTTTAAGTAGATCAAAACAAGAATGGCATTTTATTGTTCTTTTATAGGCACACCTGCTTCTACTTCTGCAAGTACCCCAGGACTTAGTCTAGGATTCAGCAAACCTGCAGGATCAGCCACACCATTTGCTTTGCCTATCTCTTCTGCCACCTCTGGCCTCTCACTTTCTTCTGCTCTTGCATCTGCTCCAGCAACAGGTAATATACACTTATAGTTTTGTCTTTAAATCAAATTTCCATTGTTCACAAACGCATAATCGTAATTGTTCCTAAAAAAGAAACCAGGTGAATCAGTGCCGTTTTGATAAAGATGATTGAACATTCACATAATGGTATTAGTTTAGTTTGGTACACTGAATTAACTTGAGAACATGGTACATTATAGGGAAGCCAGTATGAAGGATGCTAAAAGAAGTGTCCTACGTCTGATAAGAGGAGAAAAGTGCCAAGAAACTCTGCTTTGTTTGTCATCAAAATCCCTTTAACTGCACAGTGATGTAAGATTGGAGCGTATACATCATGCCTAAGGAATACTTGCCTTAGAATGTATGCTGTAAGATTGGTGTGGGTGATCTGTAGCCTCTAGATATTGCTGGACTACAGCATGTATCATTCCTAACCCTTGGAGTTGAGCAACATCTGCATGGCCACAGATACTTTTCAAAATTTGCTTTCCTTTAAAAGGATGTCGGTTGCCCCAAGTCCTCCGGATGATTTAGTGCAAGAGTGCTTAATCCATGCAAATAAACGATGACAGCGCTAACAGCAGGTAGAATTTGTGAAAGTTTCTGCCATATTGTCCACAACTGAATTCCAATAAAGAGTTGTCTATTTAGCAGGTAATAATATAGCTGTTATTATGAAGGAAAATCAGCATGCATGTCTTCAGCTTACACCTCTGCTTAATATTCAGGTTCCACTGGCTTTACGCTGAACTTGGGAGGCACAGCTCCAACCACAACAGTATCCACAGGACTTTCTCTTGGGGGAGCCTTAGCTGGTTTAGGAGGGACACTCTTCCCAAATGCAAGCTCAGCTGCTACAGGTGACAAGCCTTTTATGTGCATTTACCTCCTCAGATTTGTCCAAGATGTGCGTCTTATCAAGACGGTTGAGATACTGTGTGTTTTGCTAATCCTGTTCGTGCTAGAACCAAGTAATTGTTCCTGGTCCTTTATTTTGAAGTGCTTGAGTTTGTGGTCATCTACATTAACAACTAATAAATGAACAGCATCCCTTGCTGTGTTCCTATCTGAAAATTAGAAATAAGGTCAACAGAGAGTTCTCAGTAGTTAAGTTGCTTTCTGAGAGTTTCTGAGCTCAGTGAATCAAGGATGAACCTCTGCCCACCTTAGAGGTTGGAATAACACCCACATAGTTGGGTGTTGATGTTTCTGGGAAGATATCTGAAGCTCACGGCCTTATCCCTACCATTTTTGGCTGGAGGGCAGGGTTGATGATGAACACAATTTTTCATTGTCTACACATACTACAAGTCTTGTTTTCCCCATATCTACATATGGGTTCTAGCTGGTGAATGTAGACATAACATGCCTTTGATTTTCACTACTGGCAATTCATTGAGGATATATTGCTTCAAAAATGTTATATTCAGACTATTTTCAATACTGATGCATGACAATAAGAAGTCTCTGATACAGTTGATGGATTACTTTCAGGGCTCGGACAGAATGCTTTCGGTTTGACTCTAGGGACGGCTGCAGCACCTGCTACTACAGTTAATGAAGGTCTTGGGGGCATAGACTTCAGTAGTTCTTCAGATAAAAAGAGTAAGTTTTTGTGGACCCAGCTTGGAAAGGTGTTTCTCCAAGAATACTTACTAGGCACTGACTTTTTTCTGTAACAGCATGGGGACTCATTAAAACAACAAATTCTAAATCTATCTTTTTAAATAGGAAACTATTTAATGAAACTAACTGCTTTATGATTCTATTGCTCTGGGGTTTTGGTGCCTGGTGCTGAGACGCTTGTTCCCAGTTGCCCCACAGCTCACCAGTACAGTCCACGTCAGTACTCCATACACCAGGAGTAGGGAATTTTTGTTCTGGCCAGATTTCTACCCCCAGGCCATTTCCCCAAATCTGCAGCCACGTCACCTCTGATCTCAGGTGTGGAGCAGGTAGAGACATGGCTGGATCAGCTGCCTGCACACCTGAAACCTGCAAAAAGCAGGATCCAGCTCTCTGTGCACCAGTTGATGCACAGAAAATTCAGTTCTGCTTGGTTCAGGTGCTCAAGTGCATTCTCCAGGTAATCCCTAACTCTGCTTGGTCACTTCTCCTCCTCCTTCTCCTCCCATATACTTTCCCCCCTGTCTTTATCTCCGACTGAAGCTCCTATTACAGCATGGATGGGGAACTTGTAGCCCTCCATATGTTGTTGAATTACAGTTCCTATTATCGCTGAATGTGGGCTGTGCTGACTGACCAGTGAGAGTTGTAATCCAAAAGTATTTGGAGGGCCATACATTCTCCACCCTTCCCTGCAGCATCTGAAACTATGCCTAGAGCCCCCATAGGATGGATAATAACAGTGGTTTTAAAATACCAGGTTATTTTTGTTAGAGAATTGCTGTTTTTTTAAAGAAAAGAAAAAATACACTATTTGAAATCTGAATTTAATGCAGACGTGTTAGTCTGTACTCCAAAATGAAATAATTGCTACCTATCAAAATATACTTTGAAAACGTCTGACCTGAAATTGGTTAAATGACACTATCAGTGCAATCCTACCCGTATCTGGTGACCCTTAAAGTAAAACAAGTCAGGGAACTGGCTGCTGTTTGTTCGATAGCGGTGACCCAGAAGCTAGCATTTTCCCAAATAATATTTGAAGCTTTTAGCCGAGGGTAATAGGGGTGGGTATAAGAAACCTATTGATATTTTCATAATTCAAATTTAGGAGCATGTTTTTGTTTATACTAAGAGTTTTAACTTCCTTTCCCCCTCAGGTGACAAAACAGGAACGAGACCAGAGTAAGTGTACCAAATATTCATAGCTGGAAAAATACCTGTTGGGACTAGGTGCCTCTTAAATGGAAGGCAACCAATAGCTGCTTATTTTATTTAAGCATACATAAATTTCTGTACCGCTAAATATTCTCAAACCAAGGTACGTAAGATCAATGTTATAAACTAAACAAAAAAAGACAGAGATCAGAAGAACATAAAATGGGTCATATGGAAAGGTAAGCTTGTGTGAATAAATGTTTTAAAGTGGTGTCTTAAATGAAGCCCAGAAGATGCCTGCCTAATATACAAAGGCAATGCACAATATCGGCGCTGCTATCCCAAGTACCTCATTCTTATGGCTGCATAACGTATATCACAAGGGACAGTTAGTAATGCTTCTCCCAACAGATCTCAAATAGGCAGGAATGTATGGAGAACGGCGGTCCTTCAAGGAGGCTGGTCCCAAGTTATTTAGGGCTTTATATGTTAACAGTTGCACCTTAAATCTGGCCAGATAGTATATTGAGAGGAGATTCTTCATCACTGGTGTTGCATGCTGTCAAGGAGCACCACCAAGCTCCTAACCTGCTACAGAGACAATAACCCTGGTCAGAAGAGGCAAGTTGGCCAACCCACGGAGCCTGCATATTGCCAGGATTCCAGCTTAGTTTATTGGCCCTCATCTAGGCTACCACTGCACTTGGACCCTGGTCCAGGGCTTGCATGGCCACACCTGGTTCATGGTGCTTTCCCGATGTTGGACTCCCATTTCCATCATCCCTGAGGCTGTTGGGAGTTTACGTCAGTGACCCCTAAAGGGTACCAAATTGTTTACACTTAGTGGACTAAATTGATTGGGTTTAATCTTCGTGATAACAAGTTAGGATGATGAAGTTGGTGCAGATTTGACTGTGAAGTTGTAATTTCCAGAGAGGAAGGTACCGCTTCAAATAGTATGTTCATTCTCAACACTAGTTTCTCATTTCTGTGGAAGAAAGATATTTGGGGTTGCTGGGGTAAATAATGAGAAGGTTTTCCAAAACTTTCTTCCGCTGCTGCTTAATGATAATTGGGGTAGAACATTCAGAAAATTCAGTGGTTAATGGGCTTAGTGCAGTTCTTTGCATCTGTTGTGTTAAATAAAAGCTGCTGCTACTGCTGTTTAGAGAGTGTCATGCTAATAATGATGTACATGTCTGTTGGCAGGGATAGTAAAGCCCTGAAAGATGAAAATCTACCTCCCGTAATCTGCCAAGATGTAGAAAATCTTCAGTAAGTATTTCCTGGGTCCTCGGAATTCCAGATATCTTTTGTTATTGAAATTTACCTTGAAGGTGTCTTGGACTAGTAAGAGTACTCTTTTGTTCACAGTTTCAAAACACTTGGTTTGACAGCTGTGGGTATACTGCTCCGCAGATGCTCTGAAGGTACCTCAGGTCTTGCTTACTTGAAGTCACTTCAGTAAATGTAACTGGTGGGTGCAGGCTGGAATCAGCCCACAAGGTCCTTCTGTTGGGCCCATGATCCTTGTCCACTCTACCACGGCTTTTCCTGTTGTTCGGTGATGTGAGGAGAGTTCTCTTGGGAGAGGGAAAGATGACGGAGGGGGGAGACTTAAGCCTCTCCCCTCTTTACAGTGCCTCTCCCCAGCACAGCTCAGATCTGAGACTGCAGCTCAGGAATGGGAAAGGTGGAAATTGCTTTTCCATGCTTTGCATTAAGAAAGGGAAGGCCGTATTGTCAGTGTGTAATGCAGAAGACAAGCACTGAATTGGCCATGGTGAAAGAGGTGTGTGAGAGAGGATGGGGGAGAGGGGTCTTTGTTGTGTTTTGAGATGTGGAGAGAGAGAGAGTGGGCACGGGCACACACACACTTTATCCCCAAACCACCATCAGTACGCAGCCCTGACTACTTTCCTCTGAGATTTCCCAGCTCTGAGGAGAGAGAGGTTCCTTAGTCTGTAGTTCTGAAGAGCTGGGGTTGGGGGCATTGCATGGATTAATTCTGTCTTCTGGTTTCTCCTCTCCCAGGAAGTTTGTAAAAGAGCAGAAGCAGGTCCAGGAAGAAATTAGTCGAATGTCCTCCAAAGCAATGCTCAAAGTGCAGGAAGACATTAAAGCTTTGAAGCAACTTTTATCAGTCGCCGCCAGTGGATTACAGAGAAACACTCTTAATATTGATAAGCTGAAAGTGGAAACTGCTCAGGTATAAGCAACTCTGCTGGGGATCACGTGCTAGCCCAAAGCTAGCAAAAATGATAATATTCCTATCCTCTTGGAAAATGTAGGTCTTCTTGCCTAACAGGTGTGCTGGGCAGTCCTTGATTTGAAGCAGCTGAGAACTTTGTTTACTGTACAACTGTAACAGTATAATGTTTGCTGTCCTGAAAGGTTGTTTCCGTTATACAGAAAACTCATCACTTGGTATCTGGCATTGTATCATGTGCTTTCCCAGTAGAGTTCAATAGGTCTAGTCTTTTCCAGCTCCCATCTATTAGGTTTTTGAAGCCTCTGGGCAAAATTTTATTGCAGTGGTCCCCAATTAAGTGCTGTGTCCCCTTGTTTTTCAAAACCCCTGGTCTAAAATTATAGTCTGATTTGTAATCACATCCCATTCCTTCGCCCCCCTCCCGATAATAATGAACATGGTAAAGTTCATCCTTCAGATATTAGCTAATTAAATTATCAGGAATAAATTGTTCAGTGAAACAGGTGTGTCATTTTATTGAACTGCAAGAATTAAAAGAACCATTTTTCCCACCTCATGTTTTTGTAGGAGCTTAAAAATGCTGAAATAGCATTAAGAACACAGAAAACGCCGCCTGGCCTTCAGCATGAAAATTCAGCACCAGCAGAGTGAGTACAGCCTTGCATGTCTTGCCTATAATAAGTGTTTTTATATTGCATGTTCTATAGTTAGTCATATATTGTATACAGGTTCAAGCCTTATATTGGATATGGGTTTAATATAAAATACACTTTTGTATCTGCATGGTTGGTTCACTCAGACTGTCTTGTATCTCATGCTAGAATACTGCACAGGGAAAGTAAACTAAATCCGAATGTATTATTTTGATTCCACAAGCAGAGTATGATAATTGCTACGCATCCTTTGCAGAGATATTCTAGGGACTATTTCTCTTTTGCACATAGTTCTAAGGGATCAGCCTTCTGAGCTTCTTTCAAATAGATACCAAAGGGTGTAATAGTTCGATTCTGGCTGGACTGATTCCTCACTGTAATGGGAGATGTTTCCTGAGAAATAATTAGTGTTTTTCCTTTTAATTTGGGGACATGATTTGAATATGGCCAAAATAATTTAGCTGGCTGGAAAGACAAATTCTTTAAATTGCCTTTTACAAGAAAAGGTTACTGTAATATGGTAGGCTTTCCCTGGCTTTGTTAACAGGGGGTGTATATAGAGACATGGAATTGAAGAGTTGGAAGGAAGCATGTTCTTCATCTAGTCCAACCCCCTGCAATGCAGGAATCTTTCTCTGAATGTGGGGCTCAAACCCATGAACCTGAAATTGAGAGTCTCACACTCTACTGATTGAGGGAACTCGACTTCTCCTCCCCTACTCGTGATTGAGAGCAGTTAGTGTGTACACAGGTTATCTGGGGGGTTTTTATCCTGCTTTTCAGCAGAAAAGGCTTCCAGAGAAGCTTATATAATTAAAATAAGACAGTTCCTGCCCACAGGCTGACCATCTGAAAGACGTGACAAAAAAAGAAAAGGGGATTGGACAGAAGAAAAAGAAAATAAGTGAATTCAGGCACCGTTTCTGAAAGTTTAAAATTAGACATGAATACTTTCTGTAGAGTTCTTTATTCACTCCCATCATTTAAATGCTCTAAAATATACTTAATTTAGCTACTTCAGGATCTTGGTTGAACAGTTTGAAGTACAACTGCAGCAGTACAGACAACAAATTGAAGAACTGGAAAACCATCTTGCCACCCAGGCAAACAATTCCCATATAACCCCACAAGGTAAAAAGTTAGTGATTTCACCAGTTGCCTTAATTGATATGTCATACCACACTTTTTGCATCTGGCAGACTCGCAGGGATTTGTGTTCAGATGTTGCCAAGGCAGTAGAATTTGGACACCCCTTAGTGTCGGTTTGATTCCAAATTTAGGGCCGAAGATACAGAAGCTAACATAATTGCTGGGATCCATAAGGTGGGTTCACACACCCAAGTGAGGGCTGGCAACAAAGCATTGCTTCTTTTCTTGCAAACAACCTTCACATATATGTCCTTTGACTACAGAACCCAAGCATTTTTAAAAAAATCTGAGTGAGATCCTGCAGGATCCCCTTGACCAATGCTCCGCGTGAAGAGAGGCTTAGAGGAGGTTTGAGTCTGTTTACATATTCCACTATTATTTGAGTTCCTATATCACTACATTGAGGATTTTGTATCATACTTCTCCAGTGTGTACGTTAGTTGAAATGATGGCCTAAGTCTAAAGAAAGAAATAATCTTGGTGATAAAACATCAAAAGGGCTGTCACCTCCATTCTCTGTATGTTTAGAGACACCTTTTCTTCCCCCATCATATTTTGACAAATCCCCACAGCTTCCTTAATGCAGTGGTGGTTTTATGTGGTAGCTTTATGGCAAATTACATGGTTTCACTGTGAATTTATATTGCAATGTGACTTGATTTTCAAATTTCCCTGTCTTACAGATTTATCCATGGCTATGCAGAAAATCTATCAGACATTTGTAGCTTTAGCTGCACAACTTCAATCCGTACATGAAAATGTGAAGGTAAAGATTGCTTTATAATGTAAAATTGTGACACGATTATCTGGCTTCTTTATGGAAAAAGTATGTTGATGAATTGTTCTGGCTCCTAGTTCAGACTCCAGTGCCTTTTTACTTCCTGCATTGTTGTATCTTCTTAGATTACTTTCTACTTTTTATTTTGAAATGGAACATGTTGCTGAAATGTTCCTTGAGGGACATTAAAGCTAGGAGTTTTTGAAAGTTGTTTTTTTTCAAAGGTCAGACAGTTAGTCTAGCAGCTGTTTCCTTGCTAAATTCATAATGTGAAGATTTTTAATTCTGAGAATCATGGGCTTTCAGAGGCACTGTTTCTTTTCACGGTGCTCAAGTTACCAGGTATCATTCAAAATAGTACTTGATAATCTTGAATATTTTTGAAGTGGAGCTGATTTCTGTCTTCATTTATTGTGAGGTAGCCAGATATTTACAGTAGGTGTCGCTATACACCTACTAGGCATTTAAACTAGGGAAACCAAGGATTATTTCTGTTGCTAGTAACATACTGAATTCTGTCGCTTGCTGTGTTGATATCTACTGTGAGTTCAGCAAGGGAAATCCTAGCTAGTTTTGTTGTAGAAGCATATTTATAGAAAATTCTCTCTTGCCTTTTACAATAAACCAACTCAAGGTGACTTGCAGTAGTAAAACACGATATAACAAATGCAATTAAACCAAAAAGATAAAACATCAGTCCAGGAGATAAAAGGCCATTAAAACATCTTGCATACTACTTAAATGCCTGAGAAAACAGAATGAACTCTGCCCAGTTTTTGAAAGATAATGGAGTTGACAGCAGGCAAATGGGGGTGGGGGAGTTGCTTATCTGGGTACCACCACAGAAAAGGCCCTTTCTCTGTTAGTTTTTCAGCAGTGCCTGGAGATGTGCATTTCTCCAGAACCTAAACTGACAAGAAAGTTCATGTAGCAGAAGATAGTTTTTTTTTGTTTTTTTATTTATTTTTTAAAATTTTATTTATATCCCGCCCTCCCCAGCTGAAGCTGGGCTCAGGGCGGCTAACAACAATCAAAATAGTCCGACATTCTAAAAACATTCATTATAAAATTAATTAAATCAAATTAAAATCAAATTAATGGCAACCATCAAGCAAAATTATGTGCAGATTGCCGATTGCCAGAGGAGGGGGTCAGGCTGCGCCCTGACCAAAGGCCTGGTGGAACAGCTCTGTCTTGCAGGCCCTGCGGAAGGATGTCAGGTGTAGTGCGGAAGGATAGTGGTGTAGATATTAAGGCTTTAAAGGTCAAAATCACTCCAAACTGAGCCTGGAAACTGGAAATACCTTCAACATTTACTTAATATAATAAGCCACTTTGAGCTTATGGAAATGTAGAATATACTTTAAAAAACAATACATCTCTAGTATTTTGGTCCCGTGGATCGCCTCTTATCTTTAATAACTGCCAATGCAGTTCAGGGCCTGTTTTCCAGTTTGTAGCGTTGCCATTGTAAATGTTAGCTCACTTGGTTAGAGCGTGGTGCTGATAATGCCAAGGTTGCAAGTTCGATCCCCGATATTCGATATTCCTGCATTGCAGGGGGGTTGGTCTACACCAGGCAAATTCGGCCTTCCAGGCGTTTTTGGTACTACAACTCCCATCATCCCTGACTACTGGTCCTATTAGCTAGGGGTGATGGGAGTTGTAGTCCCAAAACATCATCAGGATCCCTTCCAACTCTGCAAGTCTATCATTCTATGGCAAACCTTTGAAAACTGTACGATCAAGTAAGATAGCCTTTGCTGTCTTTTTCAGATGCTCAAAGACCAGTATCTTGGTTACAGAAAAACCTTTTTGGGGGATGCTGTGGATGTGTTTGAGGCCAGGCGAGCAGAAGCAAAGAAGTGGCAGACGGCCCCGCGTGTTACTACTGGACCGACCCCTTTCAGCAGCATACCAAATGCCGCAGCTGTTGCCATGGCTGCAACACTTACCCAGCAGCAACAGCCTGCTACAGGTCTGAGTGCATTCAAGTTATAGCTTTTAGTGTTAACACAAACGGTAAACTTGTACGATGTTTTATATGAGGTCTTCCTTTGTGTTGGAAATTTAAAAAAAAAATTGTAACAGTTCATCAAAACATAGGTAATAGAAAAAGAGGGATAGACTTAGCAATAATTATATACCCAGTATTTAATCTTGTGGTTTTTTTATTTGTAGTAGCTTGTTTACTGTATTACTCAACCCTTTCGAATGTGAGTCTTTGTCATCTCTGAATACACGTAGGAGAGCTTATCTCTAAAATTATGACACTATTGTATAAACTTTCAAATTTGTTGGGAAATCCTAATTCAAATTTGTTTTCCATTATAGCACTTTGTAATTTGAAATTATGCCTCAAAAGGTAGACGAATGTAAGGACCATTAAAAATATTAAGAGAGTTGATTAAAGTAGTTCAGAACTGTGTATAGAAATTGGGGGGGGGTGTGATTGAGGTGTTGATCAAGGGTGAGCAAAACATGGGTAGAAATTAAACAACTTGGGGATGGAGATGTTGACTTACACTTTATAAAATACTCCAACAAGATAGCTTACTGACTGACATATGGCAGTCTAGGTGCTTGAAGTGAGAAGCTAGGTGGCTGCTTCTTTTAAAGTGCCTACCTTCCAAGGAGTTCGGGATCTGCAGGTTGCATTTAGAAAAACTCTGAAACTAGATGACTTTGCCTAAACATGGGTCTGAGCCCATGGAGCAGTCTCCCTTCTGGACATATCAGAGAGTTTCCTTGGCTCTTGGTGTCCTGTCTCCATCAACCACACCTTTGTGTTTCTGATGCTGGGCAAAAAGCAACGCAGAGCATTTCTACCTAGAGAGGTATTAAATGAGGTGCTGCTGTTGAAAGTATTGGGATCTACAGGGTATTTCCAGCTTTAACATACAGTTAACTGTTGACAGCTGGATACTATAATAAGTGAATCCAAATAGAACATGATGAGATCGAAAGGATTGCTACATCCTTCTAGCTTACTGTGGCAATGCAATTTATTCTTTCCCTAGAAGTGTGCCGAAGTATGACAACTTTGGAATGCATTCCCCAGTTGTTGTTGGTTTTTTATGGAGGGAGGTTTGAATCTGATCTTTAACTACCATAGTCCTCTAAAATCTTTTCCCAAAGCTGCTGCAGCAATGCTGCCTAAACACTTTGTAAAATAAGGGGAAAGCACTTTACCTGGTAGGAAACCTCTCTCAGAATCCAAAATATCCTTCCTTGGAAGTGAAATCCATTCATTCAGTGGAGCCTGCTTCCGTAGAAGTGTGAGATGGATTGCTGCAAGTGGGATGGATGCAAAGGCCTGTTTAGTTTCAATTTTCTTTTGCACTTCGGTAGTGTACTGTAAAGCATAGAAGAGAGCTTCTGTGAGTGAGAGGCAGCTGCCCCTTACGGAACAGAAAAGGCACCTTTTGTATCCGACCTTTTGCCTTTTCTTCTAGTACCAAGGCAGCAAGGTAGGGAAGCGAGTATTTGAATTTGTGCCATCGCTGTAAATTGTATTAGGCCTCGAATAGAGAAAATTGCAAAAAAAAGAAGAGAGGAGGCCGTTAATTTGGAGGTGCAGCTGATAATGTTATAGCAGTGTATCCTAAATGATATAGCTGTAGATAACTGTGAATATTGAAAGTGTCGACGGAATTTGGAAGGGCCGTAGCTCAGTGGGCAGAGCATACGCTTGGCATGCAGAGGTTCTAAGTTCAATAAAGGTTGAGGTTTTTGGACAGCAGGGTTAGTAAAGCCTCAGACACTGGAGACTCGCTGCCAGCCACAGCCATTTGCGGCTGTGTGGTTTTCCACCAAAAGTAGCCAAGAGGTCGCAAAAGGCATTGCTTGTTCTGTGAACTAACTGGCTGTCTTCTTCGATTTGTGTTAAAGAATATTCTGTAACTTAAATGTTGGTGAGGTCTGGTATTTGTGAAGATTCTTGTATTTATGACATAGGGGAGTTTCCCTGGAATAGAAAAGTAAACTTCCCTGAAGTATGGCAGCAGAGGCCATAGGGTTGGTTTTGTTTTGTTTTTTACAATCACGCTCCTTTCAGAAGTCAAACATTCAGTGTTAATGAGTTTTGCCAGCTCTAGGATATTTTCTTAACTGGAAACAAATGCCCGTGAAATGGTTGACTAGCTGGGAATAATGGTGACTGCTCCACTGTAGCAGAGCGCCTCACATTCTGCTCAGCACAGGTTGTATTAAAGCTGTTTAGCCTAGGTAAAGTAGGAATTAAAATAATTTATTGTCTCCTTTGATAGCTGTGTCATCAAGACGTTTTCAGGTAAAAATAGTTTAGTGTAGTTACTGCCTTAAGTGTGTGTTGCTACTGACTAAGCAATCAAGATTTGATTGGCTTACCTAAAAAGCACTTTGCCTTGCTGTGTTCCAACGCCTTCTAGCACCTAAAGTTTTAGGGATACCCTAACATGTTACTGTCCAGATGCTGTTGGACTCATCTATCTCCCATCAGTCCCAACAGGCCTGGTCAGTGATGATGGGACTTGTAGTCCAGCAACATCTGGAGAGCACAGCATTGGCTACCCTGGTTTGTTGTGTCATTTGACTCTGCAAAGGGTGCAATCGCTGGAAATATATTCGCTGGAATGAATGCCTGTCCAAATCATAACACTTCATAGGACCCTGTGCTTGAGCTAGTTGTGTAGTTAAAATCCAATGCCTTGCCACAAACTGAAGCTAAGCTAGGGTTAATTCACTTTATTTTGAAATAGGCTTAGGCAATTTTGGTTGCACCTTTATTGTCAGTACGAAGAGACTTGAGCAATGATATCTTGCAAACCTGGTAGGGAGCGTTGCTGATGTTTACCGTAAACGGGCTCTTAGTAGTGAGCTCTATTTATTTAAACTAAAATTGCTCCTTAGGAGAAAAATATATAATTTAAAAAAAATATAATGCAGGTAATTATAGTTTAAACTATTTCATAACATGTGATCCAAAGGTGACAGTGTTTACTTACATGTTTTGGCATGGACTATCTCTAGTGTTACCTAAATTATGTACTCCTAACTTTTAAATGAGAAGTTATTTGGTTTTCTGGTGGAGTCGCATTGATTCGAGATTGCCATTAAGTTGAAAGTTTGTCAGCTTTAACTATGAAATCCTGTCCCCCCCCCGTAACTTGAATATAGGTCTGTTTTGAACTATTTTTAAAATCTAGAGCATGCTTTTTATGCAAGCTTGGCTTGGGGGACTTTGGTGTCATCAAACTGTTTAAAGGTCTTCCACCAATGGTGCCTCCTAGGATGGAAAACTGAGACACTTCCTTTAAAAGAGAACACTGGACACTTTTTTTGTTAGAAGCCTAACTTACTTTGGATTGGAATTTTTTAAAGAAGCTGCTAGGTAGAGAGTATATCAATTTGTTTACATCTAGTTTTTATCTGTCAATGCAATGCTTGTTATTTGAAAAGAATAAAACGTTAGATCCTGGCTAAATTAGTTGAACTTGGTTCCCACTGAAATTGGTGGGATAAATTAGTCAAGACTTTCCTTACTTCCTACTCCTTTCAGTAGAAATTATGTTCAACTGGCTTGGTCTGGATCTGACCCAAAATCTTTAGTTAGTGTATAGTGCATACTTGGAATACAGAAAGAACCTCAACTTGCCAAATAAGTGCTAAGTACTAATTGCAAGTTCACAACTCTAGTTGCCCTTTACAGCATAATTCTACCTTGAATATAACAACCTCATTTTTGCATTGGATCACCTAAGGTCTGGAGATGTTCCTTTCAAAAGATGCAATGCAGAACAGTGCCTTTTGCTTGATATTTGGCTATCTGTTTAATTAGCAGTTGTGAGAACTTGAATCTCAAGTGTTTGTATATTTACAAGGCCAGAAGGGGACCATGAACACTGTCTCATTTGTACAATACAGCCTAAAAATTGTCACCAACTATTTTATTTTATTTTCAAATGGCAGTCATGGTAGATGAATGTACTGTAATGCAATAACGAGGCAGAAGAACTTGACAAATTTTAATTGGGAAGATCAATATCCAAAAAGGAAAATTGAGAACCCCTAGAATCTTGAGTACCTTTTGATAATTAAAAAAACCTTGCTGGTGATCATATTGCCAGTTGTCCTTTACTAGCATGCATTAGAGTCATTGCAGGAATACACAAATATGAAGATGCAGGCACAGCATTTGAACTTGTCAAATCCTTCAAGTTTAACTAATGCACTGTTTGCTGTGCTTAAGGGTAGGAATGCTGACTGTACTGTGAAAACTCTTAAGTAGCTTTTTATAAGTTATGAAATTAACCTCCAGATATTTTGTTATAACTTATTTATAATGAGGGGCTAGTACATAGTTCCCTCCCCACCCCACCCCGCACAGGACAATGGGTTAAAAATATCCATTTAATCTTGGCATATAAGCATGGATTTTGGCAGTGTGCATATGTAGGGAAACCACTGTCTCTAATCTTCTAAATGATGTTAGAAATTTCTGAATCTGAAATCTTGAATGTATTGGTTAAGGTACACATCTGTGCCTTTTCTGTAAATGTTTATTTAAGCAGGCAAAATGGTTGTAAATGTAGCAAAGTTCTAACAACTCAGTAACTATCATTTTTTTGTGTGAACCAGTTTTAATTGTCATGTTTTGACTTGCTCTAAAATGATCAATAAATTTAATAAAACAAAGTCATTGTCTTGTGTTTTATCAACTTGTTTCACTTTGTTTTTGGTGGGTTGGTGTTTTTTTTTAAAAGAACTTGGATAAAATACTCAAATGAGTATTTAATATCAGACATTTATAACGTGGTAATTTTAACCATGTTCCTATAAAACTTGATTTTTAAAGAATCACTTCTAGCTGCTTGTAGGATATTCAGATATAATTCCAGCAAGGAGCAGAAATTCTAATTTACATGCTGAGTTGTCATAATATCATGGTTTCATGCTGTGGCGTAATATGCTAGGCTTACCAGTAGTTTCATCTTGTATTGCATTTCGTACCTTAAGAAATTACTGATTCGGATGCTAAGATAGTTTGGGGAGGAATTATTATGAAAGTCTGGGTGCTTCAGAAAGCGTTTGTTAAGCTGTGATTATTTACTCTCTTTAATGGAAGGGTTTACATCATGGATCTCTGTTGCGAAAGAGTAAGGCAAGTTTTGTTTTCATTTTTTTTTTACACCAGGGCCACAGCCGTCTCTGGGAGTTAGTTTTGGAACGCCATTCGGTTCAGGTATTGGCACTGGCTTGCAATCAAGTGGCTTAGGGTCTTCAAGCCTTGGAGGTACACTTTAACTTTTTCTAATGTTTCACTGAATTACTACTATACAGCACTTCCTGAATTGGACTAGGCAGCACACGTCACCCGTAGAACTAAATTCTTAAATGTCTTATGCAAGATCAAGCCCCGTAATCCACATGAATTCATACAAAAGCACCACCAGCCTCTGGTTCTGTACTCTCAACTTCCCATTTTGGGTTAGAAAGCCTATTGCAATTGTAAGCACCCATTGAGAGAGTGGGACAAATCTACCTTTCTAGTCCTTATTTCCCTATTCTCAGCCAAGATGATTCATTTGCGTTGCCATCTCCATCATGCACCCTTCCACTTAATCTGCCCTGATCTCTATGCTCATTTGGGCATCTGTTTGATAGTGTGAGATCACCAAGACTTTATCCTTCTTAGAATATATCAAGGCATCTCATCTAAACCACTTCTATTTAAACAGATATTTTGTGGGATAGAGATGACTGGTTGCCTAAATGTATAATTAGGCTTCTGTTCTTTTGTGTTTGCACATAGATATGCTTCTATTATTTGACATGTGCCTTGATCGTAGGGAATAGGATGCATTTGGAACCTAAATATAATTTCACTGTTGTCGGTACCAGCTTTTTGGCCTATTCTGTTTATATGTTTTAGGATCTATTCTGGGAATTGGCTGGTACAGCACACACTTCATCCCCTGTTGCTGATACGCACAGAGATGTGTTCCATTTTCCATTATGCCTGAGCAACCATGAGGTTGATTGATCTCTGCAGATACTTTAGAATAGTCACAGCAAAACTCCATGTCAAGCATGTGTTGCTAAACTGGTGCATTGGCAAATTTCCCTTGAAGAAATGACCCCTTTGCCATCTCCTGGTCTTTAAAGTCTGCACATATTCTGTGCGTGTAAATACTAGTTATTGTGTGAGTGTGTACAGGAAATCCATGGAGAAAGGAGAATAAACCTAAAGCTGTCAGAAACGCAACAAGAAGCACTGGTGAAGATACCCCACCATATAAAGTAGCTGAGATTAGCTGCAAGAATAGAATAGCAAACCGAGAGGTGCAAAAAGCATTGTTAAAGGATATCAAATCTTTTAAAACTTGCATGAGCTGCAGCGTACTACTTTGCCATTTGTGTTAGGTTTCGGTCATGATTCTCCCTTCACCTCCCATTTCCAGAAATGGAGGCGTAAGCGCAGCTCTCTGTAGTTTCTGAGTATACATATTCCTATTGCTCAGTAAACTACCAGCCCTATGTGGTGGGAGCAAGTGGAGTGTGAAACCGGCCTTCCTGAAGATTCTTGCCAGGTTATTGCTATTTCCAGCAATGGGAGACGCTCCACCCATTTATTGCCCTAAGTGGAAGTGTGGGAGTTGAGATGCAAGACTTCCTTTCCAGCCATGTTTGGGGAAGAAGGTGGGCGTTTTATTGCCTCCTTAGTGAGAAGGCTGATGATATCTTATGCATGCTTGCTTGAAAGCAGGTCTGCTGAAATCATAGCAGTATTTTATTTTCTTACAAGTAAATTCTATAAGTGGGGGTAGAACCCTTGTCTCCCAAAGCAGAACGTTGGAGGGAATCTTACTTGTCATTTACTCAACCTTGGGTTTGACAAGAATGCCAAACTACCTTCTGTGTCTGTCCCCAAATGTCTAGTCCAACCCACTGCCTTCTGCAAACACATCCAGGTTTGACAATGTTAGTCCTTTAACTTAATCAGTTGAACCTATTATGTATCTCGTTTCCCTAACTTCCCTAATCTATTAAGAGCAATTGTAGAATGTGTGTCTGCCTGCAGACTTTTCTATTTAATCCGACTTAATAACGAAGTCTCGTGCAGATAAACCCCTTTTTTAACCTTCCCATGGCAGTTCAATAACAATAGCTCCAATGCTGCAGAGTGTATGTTGAAGAGACATTGTGGAAGGCCAATTCTTGAAAGCAATCTAGCCCTGTGTGTATCTTAACGTGTGTTCCCTGTCTTCACTATTGTTTCACTAGGGTTTGGAAGTAGCTCTGCTTTTGGAAGCAGTGGCACGGGTGCACCATCTTTTGGATTTGGAGCTACAAATAAGCCTTCAGGAAGCCTTAGTGCAGGTTTGTTCTGTTCTGAGTGTTAAGGTATTATAAGTTATCAATACCTAACGCATGGCATCCACCTTAGTCATTGCATTCAAATCTTCTGTTTGTGGAAATTGTAGTTCTCAGAATGGTATTGGAAGCTCCCATCTGTGGAAGGATAATTTAGTAGATTAGAAAAGTGTTTTTCATTTCCTTCTCGCAAGCTCAGTAGTGCGAATCCATAGGCCCTTCCGAGGGAACTTTGGGCTTGCTTTTCTCAAATACTGTCTCCCTCAATGCTGCATAGCAAATCTTTCGAAAATGAAGAAAACGGCATTGTAGGGTATGATACGATAGATTTGCTACTTAAAAGGAAGAAGTCATTTCAGCAGCTTTATAGAGACATGGTGATGAGCTAGCTATAGATGCAGCCATACCTTTCACTGGAATGCAATTTTGCATACTAACTTGTTTCAAAAGCACCAGTTTCTGCCAGCTCATTTATTGCTAGCTAATCTAAACCAGCTATTTCTCCGAACCACTTGCACACCTCTCAGTGAAGCATTGGCAATTGTTTTATGCCTCTTAATTGTAGTTAGGCAGTAACTTTGTAAGTTTACTTTTGAGAAAAGCAAATCCATATCTATTCTGGGTGCATGTGACTAGCTGTATGATGGTTCATATTCTAGCCTTTGTCCATTAAAAGGACTCGAAGTATCTGCTGCACTTTTGGGGTTAAAAATAAGAGTTGTACCTAATGCGTTTCCCAAACTGGGTACCCCTCAGGGTGGATAAGGTCAGGTTTTTGGATTATGTAGTCTTTACGTACAAACCACTTAAATACAAAAGTAGCCCTATTGGAATATGCTTAAGAACTTAACTGCACCTGCAGAATCAACTACCCTCACTATAGACTCCCCGCCCCACTGAATGTAGATCTGATGTTTAATCAAAACACCTTTCCTTGAAGTTATTGTAAGCTAATTGGCTATCACCATCAACTCATGGTTGCAATGTTAATTGGATTTCCAGCTTAATTATTAACTTCCTTGGATTGGTTTAATGTTAGGGTGGAATAGAAAACGCTTAACAACTATTGACAATATGTGCAAGGAACTTTTTCTCATCAGGTAGCTTCATAGACTTGCTCATCACTTCATGTTATTGATTTATTTACCGTTAGAATATTTCTAATCCGTCCTTCATTTAAAAGCTTTCCAGGGTGTGTGCAGAAGGGTGAATAAAATTAATTTTCACGACATGCAAATAGAATTTCAAGCCAACCAATAAATGTAACAAAGTAAAACAAAGCTAAAAACAGAATACCACACAATTCCAAAAACCATTTAAAATGCCCTAGCCAAATGGGAAAGGCTTCACTGAAAACCAGGTAATATCAGTGCCAGATGTTCTAGAGTGGCACTCTGACAACCTCCTTTGTTAAAGCATAACATACCTCTGCTAAAGATGGTACTATCCAGATTTAGTGTTTCTCTTAAGTATCTTAGTTTTTCAGGACATGCCAGGTCCTGTTTTCTGGACTCATCGGAAAGGAAGAGAGCTTCTCTTCATGGCAGAAGGGTTCTAATGTGCTGCTTCATTTAACAGCTGGTTCTCTCTAGAAGCAGCACATAAGGCCTCAGGTTTCTTAGTCCCAGTTACTGGGATAAGAAGGGCTTCTGTTTTTTGTTTTTCTAAATTGAGCAGTTGCCATTCCTTTTCTGTTGTCTGGTCAGATATTTTTGTATATGCAGGTGATCCCAGTGTCTGCCTCAGGGGCACAATATGTAATTGGCTCTGCCCCCTGAGCTGCCAATTTCCATTTGGCATGACCCCCCCCCACCTGGCTCCAGCTGGTGTACCTGTCAGTTCTAGTGAAGAAAAGAAAAAAGTAGATCCCATAAGCCCTGGCGTCTGTCCATGCCTGGTTTAAAGAACCAGAACTTGCTTATGACCTGCCTGAAATTTATTCCACAGCTTCAGTACAGTAGACTGTCCCTAGCTGCCTTGGCTAGGAGACTGATGTGATCACAGCGTCTCTCACGTTCAAATATTTTCCCCTCCTCTACAAGGCTTTGGCAGTTCGAGCACATCTGGGTTTAACTTCAGCAATCCTGGCATCACGGCATCTGCTGGCCTGACTTTTGGGGTGTCCAACCCAGCCTCTGCAAGTTTTGGCACAGGAGGACAGCTTCTCCAGCTGAAGAAACCCCCAGCTGGGAACAAGAGGGGGAAAAGATAAATGTGAAAAGGGGGGTGGGAGGGCTAGGGTCAGAGAAAAGGGACAACTCATTGGCCTAAGTCATCCTGGGGTGAAATCTATTTTTTTAAGCTGATATATAGTAGGTGCTCTGTGTCCTTGGAGATTTATAACATTTTGCTACTTCTTCCCATTCTGGATTATAAAACGTAATTGTAACAAACAGCTATTTTTTGGGTGACTCAGAACTCACGTAAGAATCCTTTTTTGTGGGGGGGGATCATAGTTTTTAGATATGCACTTCATTATTAAGAAACTGTGTAAAACCATCTATTTAACCTAAGATTAGTAACAGGATATTTTTGTTAATATGCTTTAAACCATATAGAGAGATGCATATTTGGTTTCCTTGTACAGGTAAAGTATATTCTAGTACAAATGCTTGAGTCCATGTCTTCTGTTTCTTGATATGGCCTTTTAAAAAACATCAGGGTGGTTTTGTGAATATGTGTGTAAATATATACAGTATAAACGCACACTCGGATATGTATATGGGTACATACCATGCATTTCAGACCTTGTCTTGTAAGACAGAACGTTTTCAAGTTTGTGTTTTGGGTTCTTTCTCCCCTCCCATGTTGTGGCAGCATATTGGAAAACCAGCTGTAACATTTACTAGTGCATGTGAGACATTGTGGGCTGTTTTGTCTGTTTTCCATTTCTGTTTTGTTTTCCATTCAGTGCTTTAAATGAACTGGATGTTCAATGTAAACGTTCTCAGACTGGTTTGGTTCTCAGCTGTGACAGTGTGTCTTTGCTGTACAGTTGCTCAACTGCAGCCACGTGAACTACAGGTAGATTTTTGGAGAGCTGATGACTGATTAGTGCATTCTGAAACGGCCTTAGTTTTCACAAACAGCTCACACAAGATGGGGATGTTTTGGAACAGATGGGTCCACTGTTTTAGGGCTCACTTCCATCCTAGAGCAGACAGTCTCTGCTTCTCTCGTCATTCTGCATGAATTGATGCTTAGGCATGGTAAGAGGCTACGAAGGGTCGATCACGGCAGGACACTTGAGAGTAAACTACAATATTTGACACAATTACAATAGTAATAGCCTTGCATTAGTTGAGCTGTATCTCCAGCTCAGTGAATGTTTTAAAACAGAAACAACAGGAACATTTATTGCCTTAAATGAGGGACTACAGTCATAGTCCTTGAACTGTGTTGCCAGCACAGACCCCATTCACTTCACTGGGGCTTGTGCTAGGCCATCTCTTTTGAGGGCCGGGCTGTAAATTAGCCCATCATATCATTGCTCTGTGTGTGTGCGTGTGTGTGTTGTGTACAGAATTTTTGTGAGGTCTAGCCTTTTTACACAAAGAATATTTTGTATATAATTCCAAGCAGATATTCATAGTTCTCATCTAGGCACCTTTAAAAACAAAAAGATAAGTCGCGCACGTATGTATTCTCTGGTTTTGAAGTTGGTTGCTTTCAGGCATTACTATTTTTGTAAGTTCTGCCAGCGTTTTTTGTCTTCATTGGACAGCAAGTCATCCGGCAAATGTGTGAGTCCTGAGTGTGATGCATTCAGAAGTAAGGGGAATAGCTTACTTAACACAAGTCTTTTCACCTTTATATATGAAGTATGGGCCGTTTTTCTTTTGGAAGGAGGAAGAAATTAAACTTGACAGAATTAAGGAAAACTTAAAAACAAATTTCAGGCCACAGTTCTGTTTTGAATTTGTATTTGAGCTCCAGCAAAAAAGATGTGCAAACTTGGATGTATGTTAACTGCTTTTTACAATATTAAAATGTTAAAATTTCTTTGTATATAATTTGTGAACCTATTTTTTTAACTGTGTTGTCTTTGTCCATATGTGCATCTTTTCTGTTCTACAAATAATAAAACGGATTGAAGTGTGGTGTGTCAACAATACTTGCATTTATTTCTGGATGGTGTTTTCATTCCTCCTGGGCTGTGATCCCCCACACATGATATTGTACTCAGTGGAATATCGGTGGTACTGATTCAAACAATATGTTTTCTGTTACATAAGAACAACCCTGAATGTTTCCCAATATGCATTTGTATGGCCAGTGTAACATATGAACCAATCCAATCCCTGGATTTAACCAACAGCAATTCCTTTCAGTTCAATTATTTTCTATACTACCCTTCTGAGGATCATAGAGCGGTTCACAGTATTAAAAACACAAAATACATAACAGCAACAAAAACAATACACACATCCCAAACAGTTTAAAAGGCCATAGATTGCTTAATTCACCAAAGACCTGGTTATAAAGTTTTTGTGTGGCTCCTAAAGGCATATAATGCAGATGCCAGCCGAACCTCCCTGGGGAGAGCATTCCACAGATGGGGAGCCACTGCAGAAAAGTCCCTGTTCTTGTGTTGCTGTCCTCCCAACCTCTCATGGGGGAGTCACATGAAGAAGGACCTCAGGTGATAAACACAGAGTCTGGGTATGTTCATATGAGGAGAGGCAGTCATTGAGGTATTGTGGTCCTGAGCCTTTAAAAGGCTTTATAAGCCTCGATCACAATGGACAGAAAAATGCACTGTTGTAATACTTGGAGTTGCTGGTGTCCTTTGTCCCTTATATTCACATCCACAGTTGTGTTGCTGAAAAACAGTGGAACTGAGTGTGGAGAGAACACCCTGAGTCCTCCCTACACTTAGGAACATTTTACTGATTTGGCACTTGGGTTGGATAGATCCCAATTCGGCATTTAAATATTTTAAAATTTTGACAAACTCAGTACAATTCTATGCTTCATGTTACTTTTTTTTAAATATCACAGTATAGGGTTGGTATCAGGGATCTGTTAGTTTCTAAGGCACCTCACACCATACCTTACAACCTTTATTTTTTGTCTTCAGTTCAAAACCTGGATAGATGAATTAAAATACTGAATGATCCGTATCATTTGTTGTTTCAACCACTGGCCATTACAAAAGATCGTGAAAAAGTTATACTTGATATTGGACGTTTGGTAACTTTAATACCTTGGTTCCAGTTACAGATAGGTAGCCGTGTTGGTCTGCCATAGTCAAAACAAAAAAATTCCTTCCAGTAGCACCTTAAAGACCAACTAAGTTAGTTCTTGGTATGAGCTTTCGTGTGCATGCACACTTCTTCAGATACACTGAAACAGAAGTTGCCAGATCCTTCTATATAGTGAGAAGGTGGGGAGGGGTATTACTCAGAAGGGTGGTGGGAATGGGTGATTGGCAGATAGCTGTGATGAGCCTGTTGACGACTCTTAACGACTGCAGTAGGTCTTACAGGAAAAAGCAAGGGGTGAGAAGGTGAAAAATGGCTTTGTTATGTATAATGAGATAAGAATCCAATGTCTTTGTTCAGGCCAGGTCTCTCCATGGTTTTAAGTTTGGTAATGAGTTCCAATTCAGCAGCTTCTCTTTCCAGTCTATTTCTGAAATTCCTTTGTAGTAAAACAGCTACTTTGAGATCTTGTATAGAATGTCCTGGGAGATTGAAGTGTTCTCCTACTGGTTTCTCTGTCTTGTGATTCTTGATGTCAGATTTATGTAACTGACATCTTCTTTCTTACTAAATGCAAGAACCTGGACATTATACCCAAGGGTCTTAGAATTAAGAACCCTCTACAATCCACGTATCCCACTGAATATGCAAGAAAACTATGCAACACTTTCTCTAAGAAGCTGCTCAAACATCTGATCAGCATTCTCTACTCTAAACAGAAGCTAATAAAGGAGGAACTCCTTGTATTGGACAACTCTATCAGGAACCACCAAGCTTGGCAAGAGTTCCAAAAGGAAAAACAAAACATTTACCACTCTCAACTGGAGCTACTGAAAAAACAGAAAAACAAGAAACTCTCTAACCTTTCCAACCTACAGGCTACTAATCAAAACAAGATCAACAATATTGTCAATCTCTCACAGCAAGCACTCAGCCCAGCTGAGGAATCAGTCCTTTCACGTGGACTGTCATTCTGCCCTGCCAAATCCCCACACATGATTCAGTTCTGCGGGGACTTGGAAGCATTTTTCCGCCGTTTACGCCTGAAGGAGTATTTTCAACACACACAACAACAAGACAAAGCAGAACAAGCAACTACTTCACAACACAACACCTCTCAACCCACTGGAGAACAACAACCACCCTCCCAACAGAACACTGACCACCAACTACCACCGAAAAAGTGTTACACAAAAAGAGACTCCACATGGACCCCTCCTGATGGACGCAATACCACACTGGACTTGTACATTGACTGCTTCCGCCACAGAATCCAAACAGATGTGACCAGAAAACACCATCGCTTACAACAAAATCTAAACCATGCTGAAAGGAGAGCCATAGATAATCTCAGAAACAACCCAGACATTATAATTAAAGAAGCAGACAAAGGTGGAGCTGTCGTCATCATGAACAAAACTGACTACATTCAGGAGGCACACAGACAACTTTCCAATACCGCCTTTTACATAAAATTGGACTCAGACCCCACACAGGAATACAAAAAAGAACTGAACAAGATTGTTAAGGAGCTACCCCCACACATCCAAGAACAGATCCTCACCAACACACCATCAGAACCTCGACCAGGAACTTTCTATCTTCTACCTAAAATACACAAACCAGGAAATCCAGGACGCCCCATCATTTCAGGTATTGGCACTATTACAGTGGGTGTCTCCGGTTATATGGACACTGTTCTGAAACCATATGCCATCAGTGCTCCCAGCTATGTACGTGACACCACAGATTTTCTGAGGAAAATACAATCTTTAAATAATCTTCCCAACAATACTATACTAGCTACTATGGATGTGGAATCTCTGTATACCAACATCCCACACAACGATGGTTTACAAGCTATAAGGAACACCATTTCAGATAAAACCACAGCGGACTTTGCCACCAAACTTTGCCAATTTGTCCTTACCCACAACAACTTCAAATTCGGTGATGACCTGTTCCTTCAGATCAGCGGCACAGCAATGGGCACCCGCATGGCCCCACAGTATGCCAACATCTTCATGGCAGATTTAGAACAACGTTTCCTAAACTCCTACCCACTCAAACCTCTCTTGTACCTGCGATACATTGACGATATTTTTATCATCTGGACACATGGTCAACAGACCCTGGACACCTTCCACCAGAAATTCAATGATTTTCACCCCACAATCAACCTAACAATGAATCAATCTATGCAAGAAATACATTTTTTGGACACTACTATAAAAATACAGGATGGGCGCATAGACACCACCTTATACCGTAAACCAACTGACCGACAAACATATCTACATGCCTCTAGCTACCATCCCAAACATACCAAACAGTCCATTGTATATAGCCAGGCACTACGTTACAGCCGTATCTGTTCCAATTCTACAGACAGAGACTCTCACCTAAGAGATCTACAGCAAACCTTTTTAGAACTAAAATACCCAGCAGATGAAGTTAGACAACAGATCAACAGAGCCAGACTGATACCCAGAGAGAACTTGCTGCAAGACAGACCCAAAAAAGAAAATAACAGAACACCTCTAGTCATCACATACAGCTCCCAAGTTAAAACAGTACAACGCATCATCAGAGATCTACAACCTCTCCTGGACAATGACAGTTCTCTTTCTCAAGCTCTGGGAGGAAGACCTTTCATTGCCTACAGACAGCCACCCAATCTTAAACAACTCCTAACCCACAATAATACTACAACCAGACTTAACACGGACACTGGCACCAGAGCCTGCAATAAACCCAGATGCCAACTTTGCTGCCACATACACCCGGACAACACCATTACTGGCCCCAACAACATCACACATACCATCTCAGGACTATTTAATTGCTCATCGTCTAACATTGTGTATGCCATCAAATGCCAACAGTGTCCTTCAGCTCTCTATATTGAACAAACAGGCCAAACCTTACGCCAAAGAATAAACGGACATAAATCTGACATCAAGAATCACAAGACAGAGAAACCAGTAGGAGAACACTTCAATCTCCCAGGACATTCTATACAAGATCTCAAAGTAGCTGTTTTACTACAAAGGAATTTCAGAAATAGACTGGAAAGAGAAGCTGCTGAATTGGAACTCATTACCAAACTTAAAACCACGGAGAGACCTGGCCTGAACAAAGACATTGGATTCTTATCTCATTATACATAACAAAGCCATTTTTCACCTTCTCACCCCTTGCTTTTTCCTGTAAGACCTACTGCAGTCGTTAAGAGTCGTCAACAGGCTCATCACAGCTATCTGCCAATCACCCATTCCCACCACCCTTCTGAGTAATACCCCTCCCCACCTTCTCACTATATAGAAGGATCTGGCAACTTCTGTTTCAGTGTATCTGAAGAAGTGTGCATGCACACGAAAGCTCATACCAAGAACTAACTTAGTTGGTCTTTAAGGTGCTACTGGAAGGAATTTTTTTGTTTTAATACCTTGGGTGATAGCTAATTTTAGTCATGAAGTGGAATCCTTATTTGCAGTCTATATACACACAGCTACTTCCCCCCTGAAATGGTTTACAACATCTCTGGATAAGGAAATGCGATGTCTGTGTACTATTTCTATGTAGTTTGTGCAGGAATTCCATATGGATTGTGTGCTTCAATGGGATACACACTGAACATATTCTCAACAAAGAATACATTAGCCCTTTACCCGGGGCTCTTTGTTGTTGTTTTTCTGAGACACAGCTACCCCTCATGAAATTGTTATAATTTGTATCTGGATAAGTAAATCAAATATTTGACTTTTTGTTTCTGTGGTGCTTATGTAGGATTGCCTAGTGGATCAGGGCCAGCTCCTAGTGCATCACCTGTTGCAATGGGAAATATACCAAAGATATTTACAACGGATTATGCATCAGGTAAATTTTGCAACCTTAACGTTGCC